TATCTCGTATGTAAAAATAATAAAAATAGGAATATGATCACTGTCATTTAAATTGTTTCCGACCTTAAATTTGCAAAATAGTATCAGAAATGGTGAACAGATGGCAAGGTCAGTGCTGTCAAATGTCCTTGTATGCTGGTGGAAGAAAGTTTGCTCGTCAGTATTATGGAGGCAAACAGAATGATCACTGATCATCTGTTCAATTTGCCTACCATGTAGGTTTTTATATCTACTCCCACAAACAGGATTAATTGGAAGCAGACAAGATGAAAAATTAGCAACCGCCTTCCCCGGGAATCAAACCACGGACCTCTGGAATACCGGCCCAGCGTGCAGAAGCACTACACCACGAAGGCACGCTAAGAAAGCAGGAGAAGTACCTTATATACTCCCCTTTTTAACGGGCGATTGGAGTTTTTAGGGGACCCAATCGCCAAATCCTGGGTGGGGAGAATCCTCATCCAACACCCTTTTAGTTCGGGTGCCACTTGTAAGACCTATCTCTATTATTCCATATAAACTAAATTAAATCCTACAATGAACCTCGTGAATTCTCGCACAGGCGTGAATAAATTACCAGCACAGAAGAAAGGGTGCAAAATAACCCAATTCAAACTAATTTAACTAATTCAAACTAATTTAACAGCATTTCAAAAAACATTGTTCACTTGCGGTGGTAACTAAAAGTAGACTATAATACAAATCAAATCTGAAATTAAATAGTGCAAGAACGCACTTCAATTTACACCCAAGAGACTCACAGAAATCTAACTAGCGTGATACTAAACTGATAGGGACAAGATGCTTACTAGCGTGACCGCGAAATAACAACGAAACGTGCGCTTGACTAGCGAAACACGCTCTGAATAAACTGAGATAATCACACGTTTAAATAGCGCTTCACTTAACTTAAAATTTACATCCTGGCGAGAGGAATGCGAGGGGTAGTTGAGAAGTTTAGAACAGGAGAACTTAAAATAAATTTGTTATGCAAGATAAGGAAAACCCTACAGTGGTCATTTATTACAGCTAGGAGAATAAAAAGCTCAAGCAAGTACTCTATTAAATCATCCAGTTCTTGTGATCAACTGATTGCTGGGTAGCAGATATATAGAACGTACTGAAATCAACTTAGAAGTCAGAAGGAGCGATGTCGGGGATATATGATAGGTGTGGATAAAGATCCCATTCGAGTCCGTATAGAGTCCAGCTGATGAATGCAGACACATGTGGTCTTCCATTAATGATTATGGAACATTACTTTTCTCTGCCAGAACTCAGCTCGACGTTTTTGCTGGATAGCAGTGTCAACATATATTAGTACCTCGCTGTACGCCTTACTGTTAAGGATTTTACCTTTTTCCAGATACTCTTTGTGGATTATACCACGGTAATCCTACCAGGTACAAAGCATGATGTTTTTGTTAGTCGAATTGCGACGGGCTCACAAGGCGCAGACTAACCCCCTTTACGGCCTGTGTTGATGAAGTAAATCCACTTTTTATCACAACTGACGATCCGGTCCAGTATTTTGTCCTGGCATGGATATTCGAGCAGATTAGTGCAGGCCCGAACAACGTCTGTCCCTATCTGCTTGAGTCAGCTGATGCGGCATCCAGCGGTTAAACTTGTACGTCAAGTTTATGCCATGCATAGCGCGACTAATGGACATGGAACTAACTCCTTAGCAAGCTCTCGAGTGGTTGCATTCTGGTCTTCTTTCACCAGTTCTCATAGGCGGGCCTCATCAACATCAGGAGGCCGCCAGAGCGCTCTGCTTGTTGAATGTCGTCCTTGTTTTTGAACTTTCGGTACCAAACTTTCACAGTGTCATATGATACAATGTTAGTACCTAAAGCTGTACACATGATTTCGTAACATTATGTAGCTGACTTTTTGCAACAGTACTGGAAGTAAGCAATGGTTCTAATCTGGTAGCGTGGTAGTTCCATTTCAGACACCTTGTATTTAATGATAACGATATTGTTTGACAAATTTCATAATGCAGTGTTTCCTAAAAGAATACATCCAAAGATTAGGCAGTTGTTTGGTTTCAAAAGAGTTTCTTGTGTTGCAAAGCACTCATTCCGAGGTGGGACAGCGTTCGAGCTAGACGTCTTATCGCTTCGCTCTCCGTGTCCTTGGCGTTACTACCACCCCACTACTGAACCGAGTTCATCGACCTCGCCTCACAGGCTCTGGGTTGTTTCTTCTTTGGCTTTCGCCTCGCAGAAGCGTCTCCTTACCTCCACTGCTGCATCCTTTGCTGGATAAAACAGGTCGTATTTTATTCTTTCTTCTGATTCTCTTTATTCATCGTGCTGATAAGAGTACCTTCGAGTACGGCCTCCACTTAGGCCCTTTTTCCCAACCATTTTGGCTCACATGATTAATCAGTATGACACAACAAACACAAATTTAACTAATAATAACACAAACATGGAAAATTCACCTCCAAACATGGAAAATCCTCACACGAGACATAGTGATGAACCCAACGCTCTCCAAATATTAAATCACAAAATTACTTTATCCAGTGACGTCGAAACTACCAGATCCTTGGAAGATATCCAAGATAGCCGTAACGACCCAAATGTGATTATGTCCGCTAGTGATAAAAAAGAACTAAACTTTCTTCCTTAATACCCCTGCTCCGTACAACTTCACTTTCCTGACTACCCCAACAATCGTTGCCAACACCATCAGCTCCTTACAGACGAAGATGGCCCCAGGGCACGATGGCATCTCGACCAAAGCACTGAAACGCTCTTACTTGCCTAACTAAGATAATCAAAACATTATCAAATTCGCTCATTTTCCTAGCTCATGGAAGCAAGCTATAATAACTGTTTTTGGTAAACCGCAACAAAATCCCACAGACTATCGCCCTATCAGTTTACTTAGCCATTTGTCTAAAGTTACTGAGAAAATTCTACTTTTCAACATCCAAAAAATTCATCCTTCCGTGAATTTTCTCCCAGAAGAATAATTCGGTTTTTGCAATCATCATAGCACTTGCCACCAACTTTTTAGAGTTATCAACATTATCACTGAAGGCTACAACGGCAAGCTTCCGACCGGTGCCATATTCTTCTATATCGCGAAAGCTTTTGACAGGGTATGGCATCGCGGCCTTATTTACAAGCTAATCACTCTTAATTTTCCATATTATTTTATTCGCTTAATAGCCTCTTTTCTCAGCAACAGAACATTCAGAATCAAAATCGGTACTGCTTACTCAACCACCAGAGTAATGAAAGCTGGTGTCCCACAGTGGTCGGCACTTTCGCCGTACCTTTTTAATATTTATACACAAGACATCCCTAAAGACCCTTCTGTTCATCTTGCACTCTTTGCTGATGACACCACCCTACTTACTAAAACCTGCACAGCAATCGCCGTAAGAAACCAACTCCAAAACTATCTCATAAAACTAGAAAAATGGCTTACCCTTTGGAGGATTAAAATTAACACTAATAAAACGAAGGCAATAATTTTCCGTAAGGGAAACATGAAATACTATTCTCCACCCCCTGAAATATTTGACAAAGAAATAGACTGGATTAATGAAACCAAACACCTTGGAGTCACCCTTGATCAAAAACTTACCTTCAGAACCTTCTTCCGCTCCGTAGTACAAAAATTTAAAATCACCACAGCTACTATGCGGCCTCTTCTTGGTAGAAGAAGCAACTTATCTACTACAAACAAATTAATTTTATATCGCTCTATACTTTATGCAGCTCCGATCTGGGGACAGGTAGCTAAAACCAATATTAAACAATTACAAATTCTGCAAAATAAAATTCTACGAGAAATTATCAATGCTCCTTGGTACAGTAGACGTTCGTTTTTACGAACCTCTTTTTTACGAACACTCTCGATTTGACGAACTAGTGAATGATCCCGAATACACTCCCATAGATGTAATGTAATTTTGAGCTCTTATTTACGAACTACAAATCAGGAAAATCTCTTTTTTGCGAACTCAGTTTTCATACTTCTGCATGTTTCATTGGGACGAAGTGTGAAGGTCAAATAAAATCTCCAACTATTTTGAGGCAGCAAGTGCGAAACATTCGAAGAAGTACAGTAAGGAAGGAGGGGGCGGAGAAGGGGGGAATTAGGACAAATTTATGGTGTTGTTTGTTGTGGGAGGCTCTCAGAAGAGCATCGGCCTGGTGTTGTTGGGTGGGGGTGAGACCATTCGTGTTAAAGGGGTTTGGGTTGCTTCTAAAAGAGAGTTGTTGCTTTTGTAATGTCATAGTCATTTGATCTGGACAACTCAATTAGTGAAGTCTCGTTAGTCGAGAGGGAGATTGAGCCAGTTTTTGTTAAGTAAGATTCTTAGAGCTATGTCGCAAATGAAGAAACGAATTTGTTTAGCGGTTGAAATAAAGAAGAAGATTTTAAAAGAAGTTGACGAAAAAAATATTAAACAAGACACAAATTGCTCAGAAATATGGAATTCCTAAAAATAGTTTATGGACGATTTTAAATGCAAGAGAGAAGATCTTTGGAGCTAAAAACGGAAACGATGAATGGGGACCCTCCTCTCGAAAATATTTTCGAGAATCAAAACACCCAAATTTGGAAAGGGCTTTGCTTGTTTGGTTTCGAAAGATGAGAAGCTTAAACATTCCAATTGATGGAAATGTACTTAAAGAACAAGCACACTTTTTTGCTTCCAAATTAAACATAAAAGATTTTAAAGCATCGGGTGGTTGGTTAGAGAAATTTAAATTTCGAAATGGTTTGAGTTTCCGGAAAGTGTGTGGTGAAAGTGCAGCAGTAGACACGTCATCAGCAAATGAATGGAAAGAAGAAAAGTCGAAATTGCTTCTTTCTGAATACGCTGGAGATGACGTTTTAAAATGCGGACGAAACGGCTTTTGTTTTTTTTTAAGATTTTGTCAGAAAGAACATTAGCTTACAAAGGAGATAAATGTGTTGGAGGTAATAAAGCTAAAGAGAGATTTACAGTTTTGTTTGCAGCCAACATGACTGGGTCACAAAAATTGCCTCTGCTCTTTATTCGAAAATATTTGAAACCAAGGTGTTTCAAAAATGTTCAGAAGATTCCTGGTGCATATTATGCTAATAATAAGGCCTGGATGACTGGCAACATCTACGAAAAATGGTTGAGAGATTTAGATAACCGTTTTTCAGCAGAGAAGCGCAAAGTTCTCCTAATCGTGGACAATTGTACTGCACACATGGAAGTCACTGGGCTTCAGGCAATCCGTATGGAATATCTCCCACCAACTGCAGTTTTACAGCCAATGGATCAGGGGATAATCAATAGTTTTCAAGCGAAAATATAAGACAGTGCTCTCTTGCAAAGAGTAATCATTGGCTTCGAAAGGGAACAACCTTATCATCATTTGATATTCTTGGTGCAATGCATTTATCAATCAGTGCATGGAATGATGTTTTAGATGAAACAATTTCTAAAGCCTTTCGACATGCAGGTTTTATTAAAGAAACAGACGTAACTGAAGAAATCCATGACAATAGATCTCACCACGAAGATGAGGTTCTCATGCATGAACTTCGCCGTAGAAATCCACAGTTGCCAGAACTTTCATTCGAGGATTTTTTAAATGTGGATTCTAATGTTATCTGCACGGAGGAAATATCGGATCACGATATTATTAGCAGCATAATCAACGAGAATGAGATACTTTCAGATCCAGAAGAAGAAGAAGAAAATGAAGTAACACCAAGACCGACTTTAAAACAAGCTGCTGAATACTTGTCATAACTTAGACGATTTTTTGAGTTCTTGTTTGTTTAATAGAATGGATATCATTTATTAAGTAGTAATACTATTAAAAATAATTCCTAATACATAAATAAAAACATGGAATAGTATCACTAACCTGTCTCGAAAACATTAAAATGTGAAATACTAACAATTTCCGATGCCTTTCTAAATTACGAACTCTCGATTTAACGAACTGTTTTCGTAGTCCCTACGAGTTCGTAAAAACGAGCGTCTACTGTATATGCCAAACATCTACATTCACAGAGACCTTCAAATCGAACTTATTCAAGAGTATATTAAACGATTAGCGGTCAACTTCTTTTATTCAGTACAAACCCACAGTAATAGCCTTATTAGCACTTTCAGACATTACACACATCCCGGTGAAAAACATCGGTACCCATGTGACATCCTACCCACATAAGAATTACAACCTTAATCGACTCATTCACGCTTAACTGACTCTGCGGTCTGCCACCCGATGCTACATCTAACGACACTGAACTTACCCCCCCCCTTTTCGCCGCCGCTAGCGCGGACCTGACTCTCTTTTTTCGCCTCCCACACTACTCCTTCTTCCAGATTCTTATCAGAAGTCGAGTAAAAAGACATCATCTTGACACATCTTCTACATCTTGACACTCGAGAATAAAATACGATCTGTGCGCAAAGTAGACAGCTGATGTTTGTGAATAACGTCTCTGTGTTTAAGATTATTGTTTAAACCACAACAACAGAATAGCTATTATGCCTTGCTGTGCTGCTTTTTCGTTTTTCGGGTAGGAAGATGTTTAGGAGCATTCATTTCGGAGTTCATCTGAGCACATACTCTCTAATGAACTTGTGCTGATTGGATTAGATTTTGGTTTGTTACATTTTTTATTTTCCGGGTCTTTTACATTTGTCTCTATATTTTTGTGAGTCGTAGGCTGGGTATTCAGGGTTGCTGATTGTTTAGTGCTACAAGGCGTTGCAATAATTTTTTGACGAGTGTTGGAGTTTTTTAGCCCAAAGGGACAATTTGCCTAGAAGGGCTATTCATTTCGTTTTGGCATTTTGCATCGGTTCACTATTCAAACTGTTGCTACCAAATATTGGAGTCCTGCATTATATTTAAAGAAATTAAATAATGAAGAATCTGCATGAATGTATGTATGCTTCGGGAACTGTGAAAAGACAACGGTACCTAGAGACATCATACTTTGTACTAATGTACCTAGACATTAGTTCTCCATTCGAATATGGGCATCTGGAGGCCCAAATTTGGAATTTGTTTAATTATCTATTTCATATTTTGTAAAACTTTAACAAAATTTTGATTAACTAACTCAACGATTTCAAAAGCAACACAGTACGGAAAAAATACATTTTCATCTCCAGCACGCGAGACTGTGTATCGGAAATTCTAAAGACATGCTGTTTTAAATATTTTGTGATATTGTTGTTGAACTGAAAATTTATGGTTTTAGTGCGAAGAACATGATATTTAATAAGTAAAGATAACACACAAAACGTTAAAAAACGCCCCTTTGGGCGCAATACAAAATCTGAAAGCTTTCAAATTTTTTAAATCCCCCTCGCCCGATTGCAAACTAGTGTTTCGGTGCCTTGGCTCAGTCCCGGATTTAGCGGGGGGCAAGTCGGGGTTCCTGCTCCGGGCGGCAACTCTTGTGGGCGGCAAATTTAAATATAACGCTGGATCGTATTTGGTATGTTGTTCGCTAAAACAGCTCTCTAATTTGAGTACAGTGTTAATAGTTTTAAGGCCAAGTTTAAAACCCTCTTTTAAGAAAATTTATAATTAAATACTAGGAACCCTTTTAAAGGAACATGAATTAAAATAAAGTACAGCGAATTACAATTATAAATATAAGATCAGAAAGAGGCCAATAGAGGGACTCCAGACGTCATGTTAGAATCAGACTGACCCTATCAGTAACGTCTGAAGTCCCTCTATCGTTTCCTGCCCGTCATGTTAGAATCAGACTGACCCTATCAGTAACGTCTGAAGTCCCTCTATCGTTTCCTGCCCGTCATGTTAGAATCAGACTGACCCTATCACTAGCGTCTGAAGTCCCTCTATCGTTTCCTGCCCGGGCCGGGTGTATTCAAATGAGAAATAGAACGATAGCTTGTTGAAGTCGCCTGGTTTCCATAGCAACGTCTGCTGGGAAATGGAGAAGCATTGTAACTATTTTCTAAGAGCTAACCCCAAAAAATTAACCTTGGGCCATCCTGGACAAATGAAATAATTCAAATTAATATTCGTCGAGTACATACAAGACATCGGCATTATGTCTTCAAGATGAAGCAAGGCGTTTAGATTTTTTGCAGCCAGTCGGCAACTTAGGCTCGCCTTTGGTTTGTTTCGGAACAGTGGATCACATTTTAGATTTTAATGCTAGATTTATTATTTTTATGGTTTCTTTTTAGTTTTCAGGTCTCTTCTGTACTCTTTTCCCCCTTTTTTTAGATATGCTTGCTTTTAATAGCCCGCACTATATTTAGCGAGACGCGACCATTTATTTATGACTGTTCAGTGTAATTACGTCAATTCTTAGTTATTCTTATTAAGGCAATTCATAAAGAATTTCATTTAGATTAAAAGAAAATATCTGCGCGCCGAGTGGGAGAAAAGAGGAATATAGAAAACGAGCCAAAGATAAAGCCAAACAGAAAAAACAAATTTTAGCTAAGATGAAAAAATAACTCCACGGAAGAAGTAAACCGTAATACCCTGCCGCAATTCCTATTATGTGAGATTTTAGAGGGTATTAATATTTCTTGCAATTTGCACGATCAAACATGACTCCATATCATCCTCAAACAATCTACAAGTTAGCATTTGAAAGAACAACCTTCTTCATCGACATCAAACGAATAGCTGGAGGACATGAAACCGTGATATAAAGATCTCTTCATTCAGATAGAGGCGGGCAGCAGAAAGACGAAAAACTAAAAATTTTTGATTTGTTGGACACATGCAGTCGGCTGGTCATAGGGAAAAAAAAAAAAAAAAAAAAATGAACGATCACCAACAATCTTTCCGAAGCAATCAATCAATATTATTAGCCGGTAAACATCCAGAAAACGTAAACCTCAGTCCAATTGAAAGTGATGGCAGACATTTGACATGTAAAACAGAACAGTAGTAAGTAATGAAAAGCTTAGAAGATCTTGGTTTACATATTCTAAAGACAAGAATGCAATTTTTTTTGTACACCCTGCAAGATTTATCAGAAACATGGTGCTGCCGCTACACCATACTACAGGATTCATTAATTGGAAAAAAGTTTTAGCAAGATTAACTGAGCATGCAACGTCTGGAATCCACAGAGGTGCATGATTAAGTGGAAAATTCGAGTACAACAAATGAAATCGTGCCAAGGCATCGATCACGACACTGAGCGACTCATTCACACAGAGAAAAAAAAAAAAAAAAAAAAAAAAATGGAGAGAAATTCTATATAGCCATGGATGCAGGACTGTATCTTTCAACAAACTGTCGTTCTTTTCTTGGGTCTGATGAAATCCCAAGTAGCCTGTTCACAAACTCGACCTAGCCAAGGAAATTTTCTGAATTTAATCTCTGCGCTTGCCAAACATAATTCAACTTTTAGGTACCAGTCAAAGCACCTAACAAAGGGAAAAGAATCATATTTATCAAAGATAATTCAAGTAAGTTATTAACTTAAAGGCAAAACTGTCTGAAGTAGCATTTTAAACGATATTAAAGCAGCCAAATACTACACAATAATGCTCGATTGCACTTCATATGTGTCTCATACAGAAAAAAATGAACCAGGTGATTCAATACGTAAAAACGCATGGTGATGTGTGCGAGATAAAGGAAAATTTAATTGATTTCATAGAAGTTTCTGGAAAGACAGGAGAATGCATTTCTGCACGTATTGTAGAAAATTAGTGTCTTAATTGACAATTGATGGTTTAGATATTGGACAATGTCGGTGTGCATTCTGCTTCTTCGTGCACGGAAACAGTTAATCTGTTTGGAATTACTCAGAAAATACTTTGCTTTTTTGTCGGATGCACTACTCGATGGTGTATTATGAAACAATGTACAAAATGCAACTTAAAAGGAAGCAGCCAGACGAGATGGTCAGCAAAATATTTGGCTGTGAAAGTCCTTCTAATAAATTTACTGGGAATATAAAATACTTAAAAGAAATTAAAGCTATTTCTCTCGATGCGGAATCAAAGCATGAGGTAGGATATCCCATACATGCTGTGAAAAATTTTGAATTTACTATCAACCTGAAAATTTGAGCTAATATTTTTCCAGAATTCAATCGAGTAAATATAGATATTCAAAAGGAATTCCTCTTCCACATTCTGTACAGTTAACGAAAGAACTAACCAAAACTGAGGATTTATAAAAAATGAGAGAAAAATTTTAAAAAATGTAAAATATTGGATACAAGAGTCTAAAACAGTAGCCGAAAAAATCGCAGTCGAGTCTATTCTGACAAAGAAAAAAATTCAAAGCACAAAAAGCAATCTGATGAACTGTTTGAGGACGAATCACGAACACGTCAACCTGTTCCTATCGAAGTTTCAGCAAATTAAAATATATTAAAAAATATCTACGATCATCGGTGAGCCAGAAGCGTTTATCAAGTCTTGTGATTCTGGCAACCGAAAATCAAACCGCAGATCAAATTATGACGATTCCATGCATTTATTTGCAAAACTAAAGGCTTACAGAGTAAAATTTTAATTTTCATTACTAGTTCTGTGATATTTTAACGTTAAGGCAGGTAAGAATTAAAATTTCTTATGAAATAGGAAGTATGAAAAACAAAACAGGAAGCACGAATACTCTCAGTAACAAATCATATTCTGCATAATCTTTTCAGAATATTTCCTTTCGGCAATTTTCCCATTAGTGGCTGAGCAATAAAAGCTACTGAGCACTAGTAGTTCGGTCCGAGGGTCAAGTATATGTAAAGGTGCTGGCTGTATGAGCATTTCCGTGATTTTCCCCATGTGTAAGATAGATACGAGATAGTTTCTCTTTCAAATTTTTTCCACTGGGCATTCCTCCTTTCCCAAGCAAATCCTAATGGTGAAATACATAGTAAATAATCAGACAAATGCCCTCAGCAGTGGCCAAGTGATTAAGACCGCTGAATACTGGTAGTTCGACCTTGCCTGGGTTCAAATTCAGGCGAACGGGCTGGCTGCATGGTTTGTTTTCGTGGATTTCCTCATGTCTAACATGAATACGAGCCAGTTTCCTTTAAAAAGTTCCTCCACGAAAGCACCTTCCTCTAGCAGATACGAACCAGTTTCCCTTAAACAGTGTTTCCACGGGGCATTCCTCCCTTTCCATGCAATGCCTAATGGCAAAACACATAGTAAATAACCAAACAAATGTCCTCAGCAGACATAGTAAATAACCAAACAAATGTCCTCAGCAGTTGCCGAAAGATTAAGACCGTTGAATACCGGTAGTTGGACCTTGCCTGGGTTCAAACCCATGAGAACGGGCTGGCTGCATGGTTTGTTTTCGTGGATTTCCTCAAGTGTAACGTGAATACGAGCTAGTTTCCTTTAAAAAGTTTCTCCACAAAAGCACCTCTTCTCTAAGCAGACAGCTTTCCTGTCTTTGTCATAAACCTAACCTAATTTAACCAGTATGCAATATATGGACGCAGTGAGTAAGAAGCTTAGGTGATGTCTGTTCCCCCTAGAGCAGAACGAATGATGGTGAGGACTGGAGGGTTAGAAGCACTCAGGATTAGAGTTAGGATTAGGATTGAATATTAAAAGTAAGCTCAACAGAAAAGCTATTCTCCTAGGAGGGGACGCTTTTCTAATTATGTAACTTTGGTACGTAATTTTCCTTTATAACAACAACAAAACAAAAAAAACAAAAAAAAAAAAAAAAGCATGTAAAGGGCAATTTAGTATAAGAATGGAGTTTAGGTTTTTAGCTCAAACCCTATCTTTTTCTGTATTTAGTAAACAAATTAAAATCTGTTACAGAAACTTAAAGAATGATGGGTGAGGGCTGTTTTATTTTAAATGGATAATCAGTGGCAATGCAACATGAAAAATAATGATATGCAATCAAAGTTTTTCTTTTTTTTAAACTTGTATCTATTAATCATCTAAAAAAATAAAGAGCAAATCTGTTCCTTTAAACTTCTGCAGGTATGGTTGTCACAAATTCAGTGGGATCTCCAGCTTTTAAAAAGCTTTTACTGCAACTAGGGAGAATAAGAAACTGAGCATAGTTAATAACTTTCCTAATATATTATAAATAGAATATTTTTAATAAACTAATTCAAAATAAAGCATATCAGCAAAATCATAAGACATATTTACTTAGCAGTAGCTGCTATTTCCGAAAATTTAAATCCGAATATTAAAAACAGAATAAGGATCAACATGAAATTTTTATATTAGATTCAATGAAAAAACTGTTGTTAAACCTGGGGGAATATGATCCAAATATGATATTTGAAATATATATATATAAAACAAATATGGAAATCCTTAACATAAATTCTGTACTAGCAAGATATATCGAGTAATTATTTAACTGAGCATCAAAGACAGGATATAGCAGAACTTGCTGATTAAATGGATTATAACTCATCTCAATAATTTTGTTGTTTTTCTATGGCTAAATGCAAGTAACATAAATTTCATTTTTTTTATTTATCACATTTTATTTGAGCAAAGATTACATAGCTAATAAAGTAATTTACAAGTAGCATGTAAAATCTTATTTGTATACAGAAAATAACTATTTTTGCATTATATTTACATGCTTGTTAAATATAATAAGCCAAATGTGTTGCACAAATTCATCTTGATAGCCATTTCAAGTATGTACACCTTGCACAAAAAAAGGGGGGACAGTTCTATATCTCCTATTCAGCTGGACCAATTGTTGAAATTTAACTTGCGTTTCCTATGTCTTGAAAGTGCGACTTAGGATATATATTAGATTTATATACAGTAGTGTTCTAACATAGGTATTTTAACATAAAATTGGACTTTTTCTGAAATAACGAACCAATTTTTTTCATATCTCACTCCGATTCAAATCATGCCAATATGCCAAGTTTTGTAAAATTTGCACGAGTAGTTTTTAAAAAATTAGCAGCCCACCAGCGGCCGAGCGGTAAAGTCGCTGAACACTGGTAGTTCGGTCCAAGGTTCGAATCCCATGAACGGGCTGGCTGCATGTGTGTTTTTGTGGTTTTCTCCATGTGTAATGTGTATACGAGGCAGTTTCCCTTAGAAAGCCCTCCACGAAGGCATCCCTCCCCTTAGGCATATAGTCCTCGACGCTTTGCCGTAATTAAATAACCTAACCTTAAAGAATTAGCTCCTCAATGTTAATTGAGTTTGGTATAATTTATTAATTTCTCTTTTTTTTTATTATTTGATTCTTCCTTTCACATTTCAAAATTCAGGTTCATTCCAAATAAAATTGACCTATTTTTATGATTTATTTTTAAAATTTGTATTTTAAAATAATTTTATAAATTTTTCAAAAAAATTTGTGAATTATAATCTTTAAAATTTTTACCATCATCTTAAAGTAGATGTATTTCTAAGCATACCTGCAAAAGAATAGAGCTATTTTATCCAAAATTTCCTAATATATATGTGAATTTACATATTGGCATGTTTTGAAATTTAGCATATTTGTTCTAATTGATAATAATGCCAAACGTGGTTTATACACTTTGTTCAAATTATTTGAAAGTATGAACAATGATCTTTTTTCCACTCGTGTACAATGAAAAAAAGGAAAGGAAAATAGACTGCCTTAAATTGAGAAGTTTGCCAAGTGAATTATTCTTGGTACAAACTGAAAAAAATGTGCCAAGATAAATTTTAAAATTTCTCATCAAAAACTACAAAATTTAATATGTAGGCATAATTTGAATCTTAAAATCGAAAAGTTATTTCAGAAAATGTCCAATACTGTGTCAAAATACCTATGTTAGAATAATGCTATATATAAATATAATATATATCCTAAGTTGCACTTTCGAGACATGGGAAACGCAAGTTAAATTTCAACAATTGGTCCAGTAGAACAGGAGATATAGAAATGTCCCCCTTTTTGTGTGTGTGCAAGGTTTACATGTTACATCACTTAACCCCAAAGAAAACTGTTAATGTAATAAAATGTTTTTCATTTTCACAATGAACTTAATTCTACAGGGGTATAAAAGAACAAATGATGCAATGCAGCTTTTATAGTAATCGGAATAAGGATGCTAACTAAAATATATTTATAGCCTATTCATGGCCTTGTATTTTTTAATGACTTAACAATTCAAGAAAAATAATTTTATTTACATTCTGCTTTTACATATATTTCTATAAAATGCAAAAGTTACACATAACTTTTTTATTATGCTTTCCATTTAGGAATGGCACATAGTATATGGCTGAATGTTCCAGACAATTCTTGAAGCAACCTTCCTAACTTTTTTCAAAATTGTCTAATGGATAATGCTCATGGTACTGTTCCACATGAGATTTAATTTCTTCTAACTGTTCTCTTATATAAGGAGGCATCACATCATACACATCATTCAGCATTTCATCTATAGGTGGCTTCTTCAGTTTTTCAGCTTTGACTACTGTCTGCATAACCTGGAAGAAATGCTAACATTTTACTTTCATGACATAAATTATTATACTACAATGGAAAATACTTTTGACATGACAATTCTATTCATGTTTATTATTTTTAAACTATTTGCAGTATGTGAGTGTATATATCACATACTTAATACTTATTCAAAATTATACAGAATTTTACATAAACAAGCAAAACAATAACTTTTGAAACTGAATCTGACAATATCCTTGCCTTCCTTCATATTCTTATAATCTGAAATAATTCTTATGATCTGAAATGAATTTGATGTTAGTGCTACTGGTTACTGTAAACCCTTTTCTGTATGTTTGCCTCCCATGCTAAATCATGTCACCTGGCTAAGCAAATTTTTTTTTTTTTTACAATTATGTATTTTATGCTCTTAAAGTTTGTTCCTCAGAATCTTTGCTTTTTAATGAACTGAATTATCTGAAATCAGTTGCCATTGACTGAGGATTTTCTTCCATGGCTATTGAATAAAGCCTTTAAAGAAGCCATCAAAGAAGACTTACTGCTGTCAGAAATAGTACTTATAATCTTGTTGTTCTTCCATTTCATCTTTCCATCAGTTACAAAATTTCATGGATTCTCCAGAAATTCAATTTTCAAGTAATTTTCTGATCTATAAATAAAATTTATTGTTAGAATCCTAAAGATTCCATTTCTGACTTTAATTCTTGGGGAATTTATAGCATACCTTGTCAGTGTAGTTTGAGATATATTAGGCAAACTAAATCAGCATTAAAGTTCCAGATCAAGGGATACAAATCTTAAGTCCAAAAAGAAGAAATAAACAAAGCTTTGACAGTTAATTGCAAATGGAAATTTAATCACAGTTTTGACTCTGCAAAAATCATCCGAAAAGCTTTTTGAGTCGGTGAATTGGATATCTTTGAAGCTTTTCACATTCACAAAAAATTATCTTGTTAACGATTTTAATTTCAATCCAATTCTTCCTACCGCTTTTAATAGGTTATTAATTTTTCCTAGTTGGTTAGTTTCTACAGACAGATGGTGCTACATCCTCATTCCTTTTACTCTTCTACTTTTGGTATAAATACAGCTCATTTTTATGCAGAATTTCATTTCTTCTGATGATGAGCGACTTGCACCTGTTGCCCTTGAAATCGATACAGTCTTAGTTGAAATATATGCTAAACAGAAGGTTGTTGCTTTGCTTAGTTTTATGTTTGTGTAATATAGTACTTTAGTTGGATTTTCCTTTATACTTAACAGAATGATGGACAATGTATATCAACATATGATATATGAAAGAGAAGATATAAACAGATATTAACTTGATATGATAACTGCTATATCATATTTATTGGATCCACTTTTGCATTATATGATGCTGTCAAGTACTTGATGACATACATTGCTGTGTAGCAGATGCTGGCCAGGACCTGAGTCTCACATCTTAAGACACCTACCTTCAACAACTACATCCACATCCACATCAACATTCCATGTCTTATAACCTCTCCCATGACGATGAGAACCACAGCTACAACTAACAGCCACATCAATATGATTTTTACAGTGGGTTAAACACAATTGTACATCTTTTCCTTTTCAGCACTGTATAAATGTAAGGAGAAATGCAAATTTCCTACACTCTCCCTTGCACAGCTGAAATGAGAATAAAACAGAAAAATACATCAACTGGTTAAAATTCAAAACCCAGTAGATTCCTACATTTCCTATGTTTTTTCCTGCCAAGATTCTCTGTTAAAATATCAGTGGGCATTTTCATTGTAAAGACATATTTAATATTATTTTCCTTTTTGTCATACAGCTCTCCAGTGTAATGAAGAGATTATCGATATGTTTTCTTCTAGAATGATGAAATGGATTTTTCAACAAATGCTGTGCACTTTATTTTTTCTTTTTTGTCTACAATTTCATTTTCTTTGGCAACATCTGAAGATTTGCAAAATTAACTGTTAGCACGTAGAAACAGCTAAATAAATTATGGATCTGATTTAAGGCTTGATATTTTTCTTTTCTTTTTTTTTTCCTACAATTTCATTTTCTTTGGCAACATTTGAAGATTTGCAAAGTTAAATGTTAGTGCCTAACAATATTGATATAAGCTTACAGTCTTGCATACCATACTTAGCTTAGCGTTCTTGTATTGAATTTGGCTAATTGATACATTTTCATTTTGTTCAGTTCTAATGCCTAAACACTGTTTTATTTTATTTAAGATCCTTATTTCAAAAGTTTTACTGAGAGTTTTTTGTAAAGTGCATCATGGAAGGTTCGCTTGTAATTAGAATTATCAAATCACCAACATATATAGGTATTATGATACAGTCATCTGTTCCTTTCTGAACACTGACTTCTTGAGCTTTGCTTTCAGAAGTTACAAAACTTTGGTGGGACTTGGTGGAACCTTCAGCAGTTTTTCTGTTCAAATAAGCTGCTTGAACATTTGTTTGATGTATCATTACATTATATTCAACTGCTAATGACAGCAATGTACATTATTTCCATTTAATCAATTCCATACTTCTGTGAGCATCTTTTGGCAATGAGTTTAGCCTTTTACTGATTTACAGTGCTGTCTGCCTTTATTTGGAGTACCCATTTGCCGGTATTAATTTTCTGGCAGTTTGCTTTATTCCCATATATTATTTCTCATTAAGGAATTATATTCATTTTGCAGAGCTTCCTTCCATATTGCTGCATTAAGCCTTTATAAAGCTTCCGAATTTGTAACAACTTCTTTGTTGCTGAATTAGCATGTTTTTCCTGATAGACTTTTCTCAGTGTGCATGGTTTTCCTTGTTTTGAGAAAAATAGATCTGTAGATCTTCCCGGTCTTCTTTCTTAACTTTGATCTCAATTCACTTTCTTTAACATCTGCTCTTCTTTCATCTGGCACTTCAGAATTCCTTTCCTCATCTAGGTTTTTTTAAGTAAGAACAAATTTGATAAATTCCCTTTTGTTAGCTGTTGAAGTTCCTGATCTTTTTGCCGTTTCCGACAATATAAAAAATTGAACATCATGACTAAGTGTCATTTAAGAGGTACCAGGTTTCCACACATGATATGCTTTTGCTTCTTCTGAATGTCCAATAAAGATATATTTTTCTCTTTTTGGAAGAAATTTGCTTTCCTGTTAGAATTTGCTAATGCAAAAGCTTTGCATTCTTCAATTACAAAATATATAGAAGGTGTTCACACATTTTTGTAATGATTTTGATTTTTAATAATTTAATTTAAAAATACAAACGTGACTGCCATCAAATTGGAATAATATTTAATTATCATCTGCAGCAGTAAAAATATTTTCTTTAAAATGTCGCTGAAAAATAAACAATCGATCGAAGGCTATACTTTTGTGCTGTCTGAAGAGAAATACTCTTATTCAATTATTAAAAAAGATGTGAAAAACATAGTTTTAATATTTCTACACGTAAAATAAGTGACATAATTAATACGAAAGGAAAGAAATATCAAAGTTTACATCTGATGCAAAAAGGCAAAAAATGCATACCCAACAAAGGTATGTACAGCTCTTATTAAATCTAAAGTCACATCTCTTGTTTTAAAAGAAATGTCAGCCCCCCAAAGACCTATTGCAAAATCTTTAAATATATCTGTAGGAACTGTGAACAAAATTATAAAATCTGATTTAAAGCTAATTACAACAAAAAAAAAAAAAAAAAAAAAAAAAAAAAAAAAAAAAAACAATGTTCACCGCATAATGCTGAAACATGTTTCTCAGCGTAAGACTATGTACAGATTGCTGTACGAAAATTATTTGGCAGGTGAAAAATGAAAATATATAGTTACAATTGATGAGATTTGGATATACTTATCTGATTGAAATAGAAAAAGATTGATTTACTACGAAAAAGAGGAGAAAAAGACTTAATATGGTGGTTCTGAGAAACAAGAAAAGTTTTTTTTTAAAGGTTTTATGGTTATTACTGGATTCTCTTACAACAGAAAACTTAATGAAAGTAGAAAACAATGTTAAAATTCATTAGAATTACTATCACAAACAAGTTTTAACACCTATTTTTAAAGAAGAAATTCCATCTCTTTATCGAAACAATCTTCACTGTGTTAAGTTCCATTAGAATAAGGCTCCAAGCCATACCACTAAATACACTACTCTATTTTTTTTAAAAAATGAGAAATGAAACTGAAATTAAAGCTGAGCTGTTCCCTTTAAATGCATCCCACCCAAATCCCCTGATGTGTTTCCTATGGATTACTGCACATTGGACTTTTAAAACAACCTTTTTATAAGTGGCATCCTAAAACATTGGATGAACTATGGAAGATTGTGAAGGAGGAGTGGAATAAACTCAACCTTGATGTTTTAAGAAAAGGACTTTTATCTTGGAAATCAAAGATGTAATATGATAGTTCAACAAAAGGGCTATCAGAGTGAACATATTAAAATAAAATTCTAAGGTTTATTTGCATATAAATCTTTGCAAAATTGTTATAAAAATGTCTGAACACACTTTGTATTGTGCTACTGTGGATTTTCTTTTTAGACTATATTCCTTCACGCACACATCGGTTACACATGTAAGCAGCTGTAGACACCACTGCTGCCTTGACAACTGATATTCTGCATTATTATATGATGTTGCAGGTACTTGACTACAAGTCGTGCTTTGCTACATAACAGATGCTAGCCAGTACTTGAATCTCACACCTTAATGGTCTCTTATTGCCATTCATGTCTTCAACAGCAATATCCAAGTCAGCGTTCCATATCTTAAAACATCTCTCCCTGGATGGGGAGAAGCACAGCTAGAACTTATAGTCATGATGATATCAACATCAGTACAGAATTTTATTATGGGTTAAATATAGTTGCACTTCTCATTTTCTTTCAGCAATATGCTAATGCAAATTTCCTACAGTGTGAAGAACGAATTTAATTTAAAAGATTTCAATATATAGTAGCAGTTGCCTCAAGCTTTGAAGATATTAATATTTTGAAAAATATTACATAAAAAATAGACTTCTTTTGAAACCATAACTTTATTAAATAACAGGAAAAATTTTGATATAACAGTCCAACTACTCGGAATAAAGTGTCAGTTTTTCCAATGATTGCAGCAAGAATTCTGCATTATACAGATGTTACTTTTTTTTTGTTTTTGTTTTATATATGTGAAGAAACCAAAATATATGTACAATTTTCAAAACTACACTATAATATAATACATGTACATGTAAAATGTATATTTTCAAAATTTCACAGTATTCTTATAGACTAAAATCTTTATTATATGATGCACTCATGGAAAACATTCTAATAACAAATGTATACATTTAATAATCCCAAAAACTCATATTACGCAAATGGTTTATGAAAACATGTAATGCCCAAAATTTCTTAAAATATACAGAAGGCTTCTTAATCAAAACAGCATACCTGTTTTTTAGTCTCTTCTTTCCATGCTTTCTCTCTTGCATCATCCCACCAACCCTGATTTTCCATGTATTTTCTTAAGCGTGATATTGGATGATCTTTCTGGTGCCAAAATCTCACTTCATCAACAGATCTGTAAGCGCTGCTATCATCAGATGTGCTATGGTGACCAATCCTGCATAAAAAGAAAAAAAAAAAAAAAAAAAAAAAAAAAAAAAAAAAATCTGATAACAAATTTCATTTTATTAAATATTCAAAATTACAGCAAGAAATAAAATTAACAAGTTTTCTTTTTTATGTACAATAGCAAAATAAAAATGAAAAATATTACATATAAACCCACATTTTTAAAACCTGTGTGTAAAAAACTACCATGAAATGAAAAAAATAATATTTTATTATGATATTTTTCTTTATTTCACAATAATTTACCAAAAAATTGCAAATATAAATTATACTCAAGAATTTTGATAGTTTTTACAATCTGATTTTACAGTTTAAATTTTTATACATCTTTAAAATTTTTAGAAAAATGCAAATTTGGAAAACATTATTAAAATTAACATTATTAAAATACTAATATTGTTTCCATTAACATTATTAAAATGCTCACTGTATTCTATGTTCTACTCACAGATTTATATAAGTGTTAGATTTTATAATAAATTAATCCACACTGATACTGCAAATTACACAACTATATGTCAGTGACAAAAAAACTTTTCATTGATATACAGTTGTTTACTAATAATGACACAAATGCATAAATCATGATAAAATAACTCAGGGTATAAAATGTCATGGTTTTAGGATATAAAGTTATTTATTTTTAAAGCATTCTTATTCAGAATCTTTCAATTTTAAAGAAAAGTTATACAATTACTTGAAATATTTTCTAAGTTTGTGATGAACTTTGATCTCTTTTTTTTCTAATAAATATTTAACAAAAATTGCTCACAAGTAACATACTTCAGAATAATTTATCTTCTTTTCTCTTACAGAGTCTGATATATCATATTCCTTGTTCAGATATTAAGCACTTTTTAAAAGCAATATGATATAAAATTCTCTTCTATTCTGCACTATTTTACTAATGTATTCAGGTAACAATGAAACATTGATTAATATTTTTTCTTTTCGATAATTATGTATTAGCTAGCTTCCAGCAATACAATATCAACATATCAGTCACAACAGCTTGTAAGGTTGCCACAGCACTGGTATAACAGTAGTCATGCTTGAGCTTCTGCGACAGTCTTGTGGGTCGGATTTTTGAGTACAGGCTTGAATGTAGAGTATTTTCTTTTCTAATTTTTCCTCATAGCTTGAATTATGCATAGCTGTTTGAAGGTATTTGCATTTTAATAAAAGATTGAATATTGTCACAAAACTTAGTGATCATAATTAATTTTCTTTTATGTAAATTTGGTCATTTTTATTTATATTATCAAAACCAATACTAAATCTGCTCTTATTTCTTTTCAACATTAACTACAATAATTAAGATTATTTTTCCATTTTATTATCTGACCTTCTAAAAGCACTTCTACTTTAAAACTGCTTTTAAACATTTTAAATGTCTACTCTACATTTTAAAGATATAAAAGCAACTTACACACTCATGCACATGTAACCATATTTTTAAATATTACTTTAAACTATCATCGTATATTTATTAAATGGTTATTTCATGATTTTCACAGCTTGTTGTTAGTGGGGGGAAATGACAACTTTTATGATCAAAATACTTAAAAAAAATTAATTATAAGAGTTTTACTGACTAGTAAATGTATGACTCTGTGATCACTTTGCTGTAATAAGAGTTAACCCACGACTAACTGTTTAAAGAACTTTAAATTGTCATATCCAATTTCTGTCATGCCTCAAATAATACATGATTTAAAAATACGGAAGTACTGTTCATTTCACTGTCATATATATGAACAACTCAGATCATTATATTCATTACAGACTTTTTGTTTGTTCAAAGAGTTACTTACTTTCGTAAACCTAAATAGCTATTCAATCAATATAATCTGGAATATATCTCATTCTTCTTATGCAGTTATATTTTAAATTAATATATAATAATCTATCACAAAAACAAAAGCTGGTACCTGTAGGTCATAGCCTCAATTAGTGCTGGTTTAGATTCCTCAACAACTAACTGTCGAGCAGCTTTCGTTACATTATAGACAGCCAATATATCATTTCCATCTACTCTGATGGAGGGAATACCATACGCAGGACCTCTTGCAGCTAAAATAATAATTAAATCCTATTACATACATAAAAAACAAAATACAAAAATAAATAACTGAAAGCAACTACCAAGTTTAACCTTTTATTATGCATTCCGTCCGGGGGTCGATGCAGAGAACTCTGAGGCTACTAGGCAGTCTTGGCCATGGGGTATAAAATCTCAAGCTTGGAGGTTCCAGAGCCCCGAAGGAAGATCGTTTTATATGGTTGGACTGAGGAGAGATTGGCGAAGACTACTGCCCTGTGTGGAGAGAGGTGAGAACTCTGTACTCCGCTGAGCGGTTGGCCCTTCGGCGAGGTGAGAGGTAAGAACTCTGTACTCCGCTCGGTGTGGTTGACCCACAGGCTGCATAGGCTGAGCCTGCATAGTACTGGCGGGAGCATTTTAAACAACCAGTCAGTTCTTAAAGTACATACGTTCACCGCCATGGTAAAACCTGAAACCGAGCGTGGTGACCCTGCAAGCCCAGGAAGTAGCCATCGTAGTAGAGACAATTTAAAATTATGCCACCTGGGACTGGAAGCCCAGGGTGGTAGCATAGGAGAGCTTCTTCCTCTCAGGGAAAAATGACTGGTGACTCCCCCCTTGCCTGATATGGAAGTTCTCAGCTGGGTTCACTTTGTGTGATGTCAAATGCTGAGGTATGTAATTAATTCTTTCCTTATTATGGACAGCCCCCCCCCAGGGTTGATGCAGAGAACTCTGCAGAGCTACTGGCTAGGATTTGTACTTAGGCAGTCTCGAACCCGGGGGCATAAAATCACATGCCTGGCTGGGAGAAACTTCATTGGCTCAGCGAAAGCCCGCATAATACTGGTAAGAGTAATTGATGACCAGTCAAATCTCCAGACATGCATTTTCTCCGCCACTGTGAAACCTGGAAACCAGGACTAGTGACCCCCTCCCCCACCCAGGAGGTACCAATGGTTATACACAAATTTTAAGTCTATTGTCTCAGTTGAGGACCCAGGGTGGCAGCATGATTAGCATCCATTTATCATCTTGGGGAACAATGGCTGGTGACCCCCTGCCTGATATGACAGCCTCTCATTTAGGACCAACTGGTCAGTGTAGTGCTGATTGGTGGATCACGCATAACAAATATTATTATTATTCCTATTATGCATAATATTAAAATCAAATATACATAGTCATGGAAATGTATGTGATGTGCAAAATACAGTTAAGAATATTTAAATGAATTCAGTAGTGAAGACATAATCTTGCAAAAGCATTCAGTATAATTTCCATTCACAATAACCGAGATCATCTATATCATTGGCATGCACAAAGGACACACTGGAGACATCTATACATTGAAATGCATCATCTAATATCATCACTGGCGTACACAAATTACAAGGAAGTAGAAATTTTCATGGGCTTATTTTATTTACAAGTGAACCTACATACTATATTTTATGGTGTAGTCTTTTCATATGTTGTAAAACGTAATTTGGTAAAGAAATATATTTCAGATCTCACATACTAGAGTGCAACAAATAAAAGAACATAATATATCTTACCAACACCATCTCCCTTATACTGTTCATGAGTGGGAGTAGAAATGGCATATCCATTGTTGCGACTAAAAAGAAAGATATCTTGCACATATTATCTTGTTGTAAGTCAGTTATTTGAAAACTCTATTCCAAAAGCTTTTTAATTAAGAAAAGTAACATACCAGAAGAAAATAATAGGACAGTTTAGGGTGGCAGCAAAATTCAGTGCAGCATGGGCATCACCTTCACTTGAGGCACCATCTCCAAAATAACAAATGACACAAATTTCTTTTTGGGACCTCTTTAATGCATACGCACTTCCAACAGCTGCATGAGATAGTTTTTTGCATTCCATTAGAATTTTGTTTTGCACAAAAAATTGTTCAAAATACAGTTCTAGAAATTAAGATTTTTCTAAAAATTACATACAGCATCATAAAATACACAATGAACAGAAAATCATATAAAACCGTAAGCTTATTAGAGGAAAGAACATGAAATGTAATCATGGATTTTTCATGCAACAGATAACTAAACTGACAAAAAAACATTTCAAATGCATAACAGTTATTTAAAATGTCATATATTTTTCATATTGATCATCTGTAAATTTAGGAAACATTTAATGTTATTTCCAAATACTAAAATTAGTTTCACAGTGATTTTTTTTCCATGCATAACATTCTGTATATAATTTACATTATTTATAAAACTTTTTATAGTGCATTTTAAAACGCTTTTTGCCACATTAAAAAAAAAAAAGGCAGGCCTGTTTGGAGCTCCTATAATTAAGATACAATAACTCGCCAAACAAGTATTAATTTAGAAGTTAAACAGCAAAAAATCAGCACTATATTTTTAAATTTTCACAGAAATGAGTTTTGGAGCCACAAACAGGCTTATTTTTTTGCTTCCTTTTTCCCACGTGGTGTGTTCACCATTTTCTGTGAAAATTTCAAAATGTAACACTGACTTTTGTTGTTTAACTTCTAAATTAATACCTTCCATACTTCACTACTGATATGTCTGAAATGGGTTCAACATTTATTTTATCTTATATGGTTAAAAATAAAATCCTTTCATAGCTTATTGATTGTTCAGGTCATATAAATTTATAATACATATATGTGGGGGGGGGAAAGGGGTGCACAGAAATCTACTTATTTGCTTTGGATTCATTTTTGGATGTTACCAGTGAAAGTAAACACAGGTTTTCCCAAATAAATAAATACTGAGTAAGAGTCACAATTTACCAACTATTAATGTCTTAATACACTCAACTAGGTTAACTCTGGTACAACAAACTAAATTATTTCAGTGCACCTGAATAAATTTTAAGAAGAATAAGAATTTAAAAATTAATTTAAGAACTTTTTTTTCCAGACATGAATACAACATAATATATTTGTTAAAGTAAAGAAAGAGGTTAAAAGATGTTAAATTACAAGAAAGAATTAAAAAAAAAAAAAAAAAAAACCTACCCCTCCAAAAAAGACCATTTTCTGATTTTTTACTAGAGCAATTAAAGGGGTTATTACTTTAAAATCATTTATAAATAACATAATATTATTGAAGTAACACATTTTTTAATAACTATATATAAAAATATTTTACTAACAGTTTAACATTCATTAATGCTTGAAAATTACGCATACAGAATAAAGAAAATGATGCCAAGAAAAAATTGTTTGAAGTTCATATTTTTCAAAGAAGTCTAATAATCACCTTGAGGTAACTGGGTAGCCAGTGGTGAAGATATGGAAACAAAATTTAGATTTTTCTGGCCATAATGGACAGGCATCTGTCTTCCTTTTGTTACATCATTTTTATTTCCATAGCACTGATTTACAAACTGATCAAGAGTATGGCCTCTATACATCAAAACTCCTGAAATATTTAAAAAATAAATGAAACAACATGGAAAACATAAAATATTTTACAATTTTCCACATATGTAATTTGATAAAGATATATTTAAACAAATTTAAATTCTAAACAAATACATATAAAAATAAAAAAGTAGAAAAGCAAATTTAAATTCTAAAAAAAGGAAAAAAGCCAAAATAATAAAAAATAATTTAAACATATGCAAACATGTAAAAGATTTAATTCTCGAACTAATCTACAATATCATTTAAATTCAGAAGCATAGCAAATCAAGTGTAAAATCTATCCATGAAAATAAATCTACTAATTTAATAAATTAAAATTAAATTAAACAATTTTTTTAAAAAATGCATATGTGAATGATCATAGAGTAGGCAGGAGACAGACTTATCAAGGGGAAGTTGCCTCCAAACCTAACTCTCCAATCATTCAATTCGTGTTTCGTCATTCATGCAGGCAAGGGTAAAAGTCAAAACCAAAAGTAATTCGTAATTCCAATAAAGTGGTACACTTAGAAATTAACATTTAAGTATTAACATTTAAGAATTAAAGTTCAAAAAGGAAAATACTAATTAAGTCTTTTGAGAAACAAGCAAGTAAAGTCAAAAATTAAACTTTTTCTTAAAAAATTAAATTTTTTAAAAACTACTAATTTTTTATAAAATAATTAAAAAAAAATCTAGAAACCAAGTATTTTAGAAATCCTTGTCTACAGAAACTTCCCCTACACGAATATGCATATCAATAAAAAGAAACTATAAAAAGAACTATACATAATCCATATAAACCAATAAGAATAAAAAAAAAACAAAAAGAACTAATTCACAATTTTTTTAAAATAATATATTTTAAAAATAATTTCATATTTAGAAAATACTTAGATACTACATAAAAATTTTTAAAAAATACTTAAAAGCAAGTAAATAGTAAGTTTTAATTCTAACTTACCTACTATATGAGTGTTGGGGTCTGCAAAAGTGTTGTGAAAGAGAAGTAAGTGTGTTCTTCAAATTATAAGTCTGTCTCCTGCCTACTCTACGATCATTCACATATGCATTTTTAAAAAAAATGTTTAATTTAATTTTAATTTATTAAATTAGTAGATTTATTTCATGGATAGATTTTACACTTGATTTGCTTATGCTTCTGAATTTAAATGATATTGTAGATTAGTTCGAGAATAAATCTTTTACATGTTTGCATATTTTTAAATTATTTTAAATTATTTTGGCTTTTTTCCTTTTTTTAGAATTTAAATTTGCTTTTCTACTTTTTTACTTTTATACGTATTTGTTTAGAATTTAAATTTGTTTAAATTTAAATTTCATTCCTTGCAGCAATGGTGCAAAGAATATTTAATTAAATATGTATTTAAATTTAATTTTTTTAATTAAACTCAATTTATTCTTATGAAACAATATTGATAAAGATATATTATATAATAAGTAATTTTTACACATTATAGTTATAAAATAAATGAAAAAAATATACTTTAATCTCAAGTAGCTTTTATTTATTTTTGTTACACAACTAAAAAAATTTTTTTACTACACTAGAACTGCGGAGTGGGTCAATTTGACCTAAACGGTTGTTTAATTTGTGAAAAAAACCATATGAAAAGTATTAATTGAAAAACAAAATTCCTTTTATGACTTTTAATAATTTAAGGTAAACAATAACTTACCGAAATTTGAAAATGTATAAATTTCTGATTACTAACACTTATACCTAGAACCGTGAAGCGGGTCAATTTGACCCGTAAGAAATATCTATGCCTAAATGATGAAAACAGATTCATTTCCTTTTAAGTAAATGTAAACTATATTTGCTTCCCCCTCGAAGATAAAGGAAGGATCACAAATGGATCACAAATGATAAAGGAAGAAAAGATTTTGAAAGAAATTGGGGGCCTAAGAATACATGCTAAACACAGTGTTATAGACAACAGTCCGTCAAGTGCCTGAAGACTTTTCATAGATGAATGGATATTGGAGCATATAAAAAAATGCACTGAAGATGAAGCTCATGATCAGATTCATGAAAATAAATGGAATATAACAATAGATGAAATAGAAAAAAGAATCAGCATTGCATGCGACTATGGTACTAACACATAAAGAAATCAATCTAACTGTTTATAAGGGGAAAAAGAAACGTTTTGTTGCTAAGTGGTCTTCATCCAATTGTAAAAATTGTAGATATTCCCAAAAAACTACCTGATACAACTGCTTACTAGAATGCAACTAAATTCGGTATGGACGCAATTGACCAAATGCCAAGGGTGTATACTGTCAAGTCTGCTTCATATAGGTGGCCGGTACAGGTCTTTTATAATATTTTGGACCTTGCTACTATCCATGTCTGGTTTTTATACAAAGCAGCATCTGAAAAATCTATTAGTAGACTGTAATTCATTCATGACTTAATTGAAGAACTGAGAGAAAGGTTTGTTCTCTCCTGGCAAAAAAAAAAAAAAAAAAAAAAAAAGTGACATATAGGTGTATAGCAAGCACTGAAAATGATGGTTAAAAAGTTAAAAATGTGAAAATAAAACCCAAGATATTTTTTCAAAATGCAAAGCACCCATTTGTGGTAAATGTACATAATTTATTACTAAATTTTGTGCACAATACATACAATAAATTAGATTTTTAAAAAATCTGTAAAACTAGTAAAACTTTTATTTATTCTCTACAATTATGTCTAAACTTATTTAAATGATATACTCTGTTCTTCCATCAAAATTAGATAACTTATGTTTTATCTCATTTAAAAGGCATGCATGTTATTATACTTAAGGAAATAAAATTTTAAATAATCAGATTTTTTAAAAAATCAGGTAATTTCCGTTGAATTATATAAAATATTTAACGTACATTTTCAGAAATACTGATTGTTACATAAAATGTTTTAATTAACTAAAGTAATCACTTGTGCATATTTTTAGGTGTTTTCTATCTAGTGTCAAACTGACCCACATTGCGGTTCTAGGTATATCGAAAGTCATGTGGTTTTAGTGTTAAACTCAACCTTCCACTTTCAACTGCCAAATAAAAATACTTTTACTTTAATAAGATAAACCAACAAGTACAGTATTTTGCTGACTTGAAGAAAACTCAAAAACCTGCTTCTCTGTACTGTCCATATATTAAATCCTCAGGATGTAATGCAGCTGCACTTCCAAAATGTGTGCCTTCTTCACCAAAACTGGTCATATAGAAAGATATTCGGCCTTGCCTTTGAGACTCGTATAGAATTCGATCCATTGTGTTTAGCAAAGTCATGCCTTTATACAATTTCGTGATTTCATCTTGACCAAGCTGCAATTAAATAATTAAAAAATGTTTCCAGATTACCTATACAGTGAATGTCTTTTAAAATAAAAAATATGTATTAATGCATTTACCTTGACACAGTATGACAGTTTTTTACAAAAGGAAAAAAAAATATATATATATATATATATAAAAAAAAAAAATCAGAAAGACTTATTTTAGAAAAAATTATTTATTATATACATATTATAGCTAGACATTTTTGGCTCTTAGGCAAAATTTAATACATATATATATATATATGTTACAGTGAAACACTGAAATGTTGACTTTCACTGGTGAATGCCAACATTCACATAGTCACTTGGTGTATGTCCAAAATATGTTCCAAGTACTCTTATTTCTGACTTACACCAGTAAATGTCGACATTCACCATGTACTTAATGGTGAATGTTGAAACATATAAGAATATTACATTTTCTTCTCCATAATTCAGTCGTGAAAGAAACGCACTTGAGACTTAAAATATGAACTTAAGAACATAAGAACTTAAAACACACAGTACATTCAAAATGAGAAAGGAAAATAATAGAAGTTAAAAACTTACTTAATTACACAGTACATTCTAAATTAGAAAATAAAATAATAGTAATAAAAACTTACTAAATTATGTGATTCAAATCTTATTTATTGCAACATCTTAAACTATTATGACACTTTATGACCTTTCTTTTCGACCTACACCAGAGCATATCTGTGAATGTCAACATACATCGATTAGGGTTCGAATGTACAAGAATGTAATACAATATACAATCTTTTACCGTTGTATTTGGTGAATGTTGACATTCTCCGGTAAAAGTCGACATTCTCCAATTTTGGTCTTTCACTGTAACATATATATAATTATTAAAAGAATAGGAAATAGTCAGAGCTTAAATATCAATATATGTAACATATAAATTATGAAAGGAAATTACTACAGGATTACTAACATAATTTGGCATTAGCCTTTTTAGCTCCTGATTTTAATTCTGCTACATCCCATTCAAAGAATCTGTATTACGTCCCTTATGTCATTATTTCATTTGAAATGATCTGCAGTGTTGTAGAGCTTTGTCCATTCACCATTTAAAACTGAAGAAAATATGCCAAGTTTATAAACACTCTTAGCTGCCGAATATGCACCCATTTTCTTCCCTGCTCTCACTTCACAAGCATGTATTTAATCACTTAGTTGCTTTCATCTATTATTTAAAGATGTGATACACATATATAAAATTGCGAGGCACTTAAAGCACCATAGTGCTGTGAAAATCAAGAACAGATGGCCTAAGAAATTAATGATGTATGATTGAAGGTATTTATCAAGAATGTCCAGGAATAATTGTGTTGAACTTGGCATGCTTATCTACAAGTGCATCATGCCATCTACACAACAGTTTCAAGTTATTTTCTAACATCAAGTTATCTACAGACAAATCACTGAAGAGATAGCTTGAAACTATTGCTTAGATGGAATGATGGACTTATAAATAAATGTGCCGAGTTCAAGACATATTTTATTCCTGAACATTCTTGATATATATTTTCAATTTGTTTTTCAACCAACAATTTATAAAGTAGTTCTTTTCAACCAACAATTAATAAAGCAGTTCTTAAGAGTTTGCAGGGCTAAACGTCACACAGCATGCATACATATAGTATCTGTTCTGGTTGCCCCTTTCATCAAATACGCATGCACAATTTAACTAAAACTAGCCTATTTGGTTTGTGATAGCAATTTTCTTTTATGCTTTAATACTACATATGCTTTAATGTTTAATACTACATTATGATCAAATATAAATAACACTGCAAAAATAAATAAAATTATTTTAAAAAACAAAACAGTCTAGTTTTGATTAGATTTGACATTTGATGACAATGCTACTATATTGCAGATAGGCCATAACATATAAGAATTACAAAGATATAATACATGTACAAAGAATTCATTATGCAGCACTGGAATCAACAATAAACAAGATAGGCTGCTGTGGCATTTATTTTTATTTCTAATTTTTATATTAATTGGAAAAGAAGGCATAAAACTTTTTTAAAATTAATAATACAGGGTGTTTATAAAGTCTCAGACCCATTTTGATGTTTAATAACTCATCAAATAATGAAGATATAAACAAACTTGTGGCATTTATTGATGGAATAACTTGCATATTTTCCTGGTTTGATTATCTTTACTTTTGTAAATATCGTCTGCACGTGTGGTTAATTTCAGATAATTTAATTTGGTACTATTCGGTTTCGAGGGCTGAAAAAAAATTGCCAAACTATTGTTGATGCCAATGCTGCCAAAAATAATTGCGGCAAGAAAGGAAGTATAATAGTAAATAACTATCTAAGATTGATGTTTTAATTTAGATGAAAGGTTAATTTCATATAATACTTTTTTATTATTATAATTTATATGAAAAAGGCTAAACATGACTGAATGGAAGCATAAGAGTAAATAACTATTTAAGATCATTATTATAATTTATATAAAAATTGCTAAACATAACTGAATGGATGCCTGCATCGCTATTTTGCTACCGACTTATTGGTAAAGCATAATTTCATCTCGTTGGTTGTTCAAACATAATTTTCTATAATGAATGATGCCTTTTCTTTGAAAATATTCTCGGTAAAGTGCAGAATCGCTCACTTATTTGTTTGCCACTTTTCACAAGGGTAAAAACAATTGGATCTTTTTCAAATTTCTTTTACTTTTTAAGTGAAAATAGTTCGATGTGTACATAGATAAAGTCAAGGGTGTGTGCAGTGCCATTTTTGTGCAATTCTAGGATTTTTTTTAAAGTGAAAATAGGTCGATGTGAACATATATACCGAGTATGTGGAATTCTTAAAAACACATCAAGCAGTGAGTGATTCTGCACTTTACCCAAAATTCTATTGCCGACTTTTCGTCATGGGCAATTCCCAAATTGTTAAATCCATAGGATATCAAAAAAGGATTTAAACATTAAACTAGCATGCCAATGTCGTCTTAAGAAATATAGAACTATATAAACTTACGCAATCTGAAATCAGCACGTACGCTAGATTTGGCGTGCTGTTAAATAGGTGCGTTTGCTAGATTAGGCGCTTTTGCGCATACATTTTCGCTGCAATTTTTTTACGGCCTCAAAACCGAATAGTACCTTTCATTTTCCAATCTAAATATCTGTACTTTTCTAAATATCGCTTGCTTATTAATTGCATTTTTCTCTCTTTTGTTTTTGGCATCTTTCTGGCATTGTTAATCGCCATAATGTGCGCATGTGGGAATTTGAAAACCCCCATGAACACCGTGAGGCACAAAGGGGATTTCCCCAAAGGTTAATGTGTGGTGTTTGGACTAATGCACGACCGAGTCATTGGGCCTTTCTTTTTTACAGAAAAGACGGTCTCATCAGTCGTATACTTAAACATGTTAGAAAACTTCATATTTCCACAACTAGAAGAACTTCAGCCACATGTCTTTTTGCAACAAGATGGTGCACCACCTCATTGGGTAGTTCAGTTCACGTTCTTAGTTCTTTGAATGACCATTTTACAGGAAGATGGATTGGGCGAGGAGGTCCAATTCCTTGGCCACCCAGATCACCTGATATAACATTGCTGGACTTTTTCCTTTGGGGATTTGTAAAGGACAACGTTTACAGGAGGAGAGTGTCGAACATTGATGACCTAAAAGCCAGAATTACAACCGCAATAGCCTCTGTGGATGCCGACATGCTTGCCGGTACCTGGCATGAAATTGAACATCGACTTGATATTCTCCGTGCGACGAAGGGGGCACATGTGGAAGTTTATTGGCAAGGGTCATGAAACTTTTTGAGTCTATCTAACCATTTATGCTATTAATTTTAATCTATCTTTTATTATTTTATGAGTTATTAAACATCAAAATGTCTGGATGTCTGGGTCTGGGACTTTATAAACACCCTGTATAATTTATTCACAAAATTCAAAATTAAATCTGTACATATAAAATATCTAATTTATTACTGCTGTTTGAATATTCAAAAATCAAAATGAAACGGGCTCTTTGGCATTGCCTAATGTTGTGCACCAACAGTTAAACCACTGAATACATACCTACTATTAAATACATATTTTATGTTTCAACTAGGTATGAATCAATCAACCTATTTAAAAATGGCTTTCTGTTTCTTTTCTTGAGATGGAAGATTTTTGGTGATCACTTTGATAGATTCAAAGCAGTTAAACATTTACAGAGTCTCACAAAAGTGTTTGTACACTTTAAGAATTTGCAGAAAATGCACTGTTGTTGTTTCTTATGCTCACTTGTTTGACAAGAACATCAGCCCAAGCCCATGAAATTCCTCGTGGCAAGGAGCACAAGATGACACCTCTCGTTGGCAACAGCCTTAGCATTTTACAGGTGACAGTGCATCAGCAGTTAGCTGAGCTCCACCCCCAATTTTGATGGACAGCACCCCTGGGGGACAGGTCCGAGGGTCTCCCACCCCTCTCCCCTTCCCTCCAAACCAGACATGAGGACTTTGTTTCGCCACATATTTAGAGTGCCGCCATGCTGCACCAACACTATTTACATTTACAAACATCAATGTCTTCTCTGGGATTCGAACCGCGGCCCTTCAACATGGCAGTCAGTGATGCTAACTGTAACCTGGAATTGAATTCGAATACTATAAAGCCCAATATGTTTTCATATCATCTTCACGTGACTTTCAATGAAACCAAACTTTTTAATTTTCAATACTGATGTATTTTCTTTTTCTAAAATTGAAAATGTAAGGAGGTATAAATAAAACACACCACAAAAGATTGTACACCAAAACATTTTCACAAAATTTCATAAATAAAGTTATCATCTACCCTTTTTTTATTTTTGCATTTTAATGACATTAAAAAAATTGTTTAGCATTATTTTTTGCTTGCTTATTTGTTATACAGTACAAAGTCTGTAATCCGGTCGTTCATTATACGGAATGATCTATAATCCGGACCTCAAAGCCAAAAACTTTTTTTTCGTATGCTTTACACATGCGCGTTTAATGCTACACATGTGCGTTTAATGTTATGCATGCATGTTTAGCACAAAAAACGAAGCAACTTAAACAACTTACATTGAAAGAAATGTTGAATAAAGTAAACAAATAAATATTAAGCTTTTTTTTGTAAATTTTGATAGCCTTTAGATCATAATTGCTCTTTATTTCATAAATTACAGTTTCATATTTTTAATTGTATAATTTCTGCATGCCATCTTACCAGATTTAAATTGATGATCTTTGCCGAAGTCCCGACGAGTCCAGATTACGGACTTTGTACTGTATTTTATTTAATGATAGATGAGTGATTATTTCATAGAAAACATCATGCGCTTTAAGACAATATGAAGAATACTTGACTTCAAGCAGCAAATTATTCTAAATGGTCTCCTAAGATCTCACCATGGGGAGATAAAAATAAATAACAGCTGTGCCACCTATTGGTAAAAAAAATAGAAAAGAATAAAAGGAAAAAAAAATCATAAGATAAGGTTTTAAAACATTTTTCTTTCTATTTTTGAACCCCAGTATTCAAATTGGAAAGATTTAACTACAGATTATGGATTTTGATGAATGGGAAAAGACAAAATTAATTTAAATTGGAAAATGCAAAGTAAAATGAAATTATTTTTAATCAGGAACCTGAGAGTTTCTTCAGGTTGCACAATCAAAAGACAAATTTGGCAGCACTAAGATTTTTATTTAATATGCTACTGAAATTATGGTATTTATGCAAAATTACAAAATTCCATATAATAGCCTCCTCTATAATTTTAGACAAGTGGTTCTTAACTTTTTATGCTTCACATATCCCTGAAATATTTAGATAACAAATTTTCTTTGCATAGACAGAAAAAATATAATAGTATAACAATGGAAATTAATAATAATTTATTTCCTAAACAGTATTGATTAATTGATTATATTATCTCCTAAGTTTAATTAAAGTAGAATTATTTTAAAAGTGTGCATCCATACTGGTAAGTTATATTTTGAAAGATGTTTTGAAGTAATTTGAAAGCAAAATGTTAATAATGGAAATTGTCATTATGAAATCGAATTCAAAGTAAAGTTGAAATAAACATAGAAGATTATAAAAAAAGATAAATAATGCAAACTTTGTAAAAACAAATCAAAGAAAATATAAAAATAATATAGAAAATAATATAAATAAGATCAGTGAATGTACATGAAGATATAAAGGCCAGAAAGGTATTAAGTAACTTACACTCTTTCTAGTGGGGGAGTTGGCAAAGTGTTCTCTTCGTGTCTGACTCAGAAGTGTAGGGTGTCCGAAAATTCTTAGCGGCAGTAGGGGCTTTGAATAATATCAGTAAGACTTGGGTGAAGTAATTTATGGTAGTGGGTGGGACTTGGAATTCTTGAGGGATGTATTTTGTGGAGTTCTAATCTGAGAGAGACCGTCTGTTAAGATTTTTTTGAAAATACTAGTGAATGGAAATTAATTAATTTCTGGCTAATTGTCGTGTCGCAATGATTAAGAATTTAAGAAAGGAAAAAGGCATTTTCGCTGTCCAAGAGCTAATAGACAGTCCTAAAGGCAGGAAATAGGCCCATTTTTTTAGTAACAGTATATGTCTGAAGACAATTAGCTTTTTACAATATATACAATTGAGTAATTACACTATATACAAACCTTCCAACTGACAGTCATCCAACTTATACCGCCTTCTCAGGTTTAGGAATAAATTATCATATCCCTATTAGTTAAATGATTTAGAGTGAGTATTTAACGCCTGCTCTTTTAAGGCAATGGTTGATAAATTGAAAGGGAATTAGATTATTTTTGAGAATTTTGATAAGGATCAAAATTTCGTGTTGTAAATCTATTGTATCTGTGCATATAGTTTTAATTCGTTCATATATATTATACACAAATGGTGGGAAATCTACATAAAATCTGAGCTAAAGCAAATAATGATAATGTCATTAATACAGAAAATTTCCATAGCTAAAATACAATTTCAAACTAAATAAGAAAGTCAATTAGATTTTTCTCTAATTTTATGTAGATATAATGAAGATTTCTAAAATCTGATTCTATAACCTTTGGATCATTGGATGGATCAATGATATTTCCATCTCGATTCATAACTCTGTACACAGGAATGCCATCATATATATCTGATCGGACAAATTCTAACTTTTCTGTCCATTGTGACTGAGACCCAGGAAACTGTGGCCTATCAAATTCTTCTAGTTTTGGAATATTCTGAACAGTGCTTTCACACTAAGAAAATAAAAACACCAAATTTTATTAAAAAATATTATCACTTTAGGAACAAAATGAATAAACAATGAATTTAGATGGGGGATAAAGGAATTGATATATAATCTTAGAAAAAGCATACACATAATTACTTATTCAAACACTATTCGAAGATGAAGTGAAAGAGCTTTATAGTTAAAAATATATTTTTGAAGTTCAAATTTATGAAATTAACATTTTTAACATGAACATTCATTCTTCAGAAAAACATATAATCACAGTTACAAAATGTACCATGTATTAAAATAAAATTATTCTTATGTATTATTATATTAAATAATCATCAGTTTAAGTGTATCATTAATTTAAATGTATGTATTTAATTTGCTTATCTTCAAAAATAAGATAGTTTCCATTTTATGGAGTTTACATGAGAAATATTATGCATATATCTAAAAATCGGCACTACTCTTATATACACCCTCAAATGTATGGCGGCACCAAATGTGGCATTATGTGTTCTGCACTGATTTTGGCGTGATTGTGTGTTCTCCGATGGTTTTTGGCACAATGTTGTTTGTATGGCAACCCTCTAAAACTTGATTTTGCTTTTTTTATTTGCTGATGGTTGGTTTGGTGGGTGGTTTGAAATGGCTTAGGTTTCAATGAAAGATGTGGCAAAATTTCAGTCGCATATTTTGGATTGTGTGCAAGGTAAATTTAGTATTAAAGTATGATGTTGGAGTTGTTAATGAGTCTTTTGTTCACGGGTGTGTTTATGTGGATCGAAAAGTATTTTTGAATTTTTTGTGGAGTCAGGACTTCTGAAGTGGAGTTTTAGGCTATAATTCCGTGTAAACAGTTGAAAACGTGGTTTTTGCAAATTAGAAAACCCATGCATTTTTGCAGACATTTTAGGCTTAAAGTTAGAAATGTAGACAAAAAATTTAGATAGTAATATGGCGCTATGGAGTTTCTCGCCAACCGAGGGCCTGTATAAGAGTAGTTCTTAAAATCAAATAAAATAATATACAAAATATTTCAATTTAATAACAGAGCTTAAAAGTTCACCTTTTCATTTCAGTGCAATAAAATAACAGCAACTACTTCTATCAGTATTGTCTAATGCAAGCAGGCGATTAATGTCTGATATGAATCTCGATAGAAATTGTTTATGATGAAAAAGAAATACTTTATTTGATATTTCTGTAACAACTGGTATATTTTATCTTCATAAAAGACTATTTCTGGTAATTCACACAGAATTTAAAAAAAAAATATATATATATATATATAAACTGATACAGACTGTTAAAAGTTACTGTGGCAAAGTTGAACTTGCATTGTGCTTCATTTACTGCATTCAAATACATGAAAAATAATTACTAAAATTAAACATAAAGCAAGCATGTATTCATATATTTCTTGTGCAAGCTATCTACAACACAAAATAAAATCAGGTTCCAGTATAACAGCAGTAAGGAAAAATACAACGTAATTAACTACTTTTAGAAGATAGAAACAGATGATTAAGTTTAGAGCTAAAAGAAATGTCAATACTCACATCTTGAAATTCATGAGAGAAGAGAAGAAAGGCATGAAAACATTAAAATTAATTATTTATAATTGGTATACAAAATGTAATAAATTACACAAATTCAATTGTTAAGTTACTTTATGAATAAATTCAACAATTGATCAGCTTTATATAACTTATGTAAATTTAACACCTTGCATTTTCTGTGCAGATATGTTAGAATCAATTATACTTAACCATACATTTATGCTGGCTTACATTACAAATCTACTGTAAAATATGAAGTTTTTTAAGCATTTTTTTCACTGATTCTGTTCTAGACACAAGATCTTAATAGAAACTATCTACTGAAAATTTTTTAAAAATATAGAAACTACTTATATTTAAAAAAAAAATTTCTTCCAATGTCATAATTTTATATCTTGCCTCTTTTCCTAGCATTAACTTCCTAAACCATTTTTTTCCGTAATTTTTGAGTGGGTATGTCCATTTCTTCACAAGTTATTGTGGAAAATATTCATACATTTTCAACCAGTTCATCTTGGATCTCAAAAAAAAAAAAAAAAAAAAAATTAAAAGAATTAATTTTGCATGATTTTACCCTTTTATCAAGTAAATTTTTTCAGTCTGCATGTAATCTTGGGTATGGTTCACCTCCTCAAGATTGTTACACCACAAATGAAGGTAACCAAGAAAGTTGAAATCACAAATGTTTTTTAGCAAAATTTTTAGCTAAACATCTCATGTCTACATTTTCTGTTGGATAATATTTTCACGAGGTACTTCCATCTATGTAGAAAGTATTCTCACCTATTTGTTTACTTTGTTCAAAAAACTTTTTTCATTTATGCTTGTCAAGTGTTTATCAGAGTGCAAGAACTGAACAATCCATATTTAACACTTACCAAACAACAGAAATGGAAAATAAAAAATTTACTACACATAAACTATTTTACACCTTTATCACTTCAATGTGCACAGAACTAAAACTTCCACAGGACTGAAGCAAAATCCAAACCTCGTATCTTTCTTAACTATCTTGCTGGATTCAGTCGCTATACTGAACTAATCTAATCTCACTGTGGTGAAGCTGCTTGGCCTTATACACCCCGGCGAATGCACTCGATCTCCCATGAGATTTCCATTCTTGAAAAACAAGAATGCTCTAGGATGCATAATATTATTAAATCCCTGGATTAAGCTTAAATTATCGTGGACTTTTCAGGTCTAATTCTACAACTTTTGACAATGTTGTATCATGTTCTATGATATTCAATGACATTTTCTGGGAGTGTTTTGTGAAGCTAAATGGGTAACTCATTTATTTTAAGTCCTACAGGGTTCACTTCTGGGGTAGCCCTTTGTACCTTCAAAGTCTGCCAATGAGTAGTGTTTAATGATAAAGAATAGAATAGAGATGAATTTATCTGGTTCACCAAAATTTGTTCTAAATTATGATCAATACATTAAATTAATTCATTTTTTTATGGTTGGGATCAAACATTAAACAATTCCTACAGACATTTCAGAAACTTGTTTTATAACAGTCATATTTAATTAATAATTTAACCTGAAATAAAAAATTTTGGTACTTTTCCGTTTTGCCGGCGCAAACGATAAAGTCGTAAGTAATGGTACAACTGATGCCAAACGGAATATCTTCGCTGGTAACCTTTAATACCTCATTTTCAAAACAAGTCTCAGCCATTTCTTACCAGATTAATTGTTTCTTTCAATACTGGCATACAATTAAAGTCAAAAGTCGTTAATCTGGACTCGTCGGGACTTCGGCGATTCCGGATTATAGATCATCAGTTTTAATCTCGTAAGATGGCACGCAGAAATTATAAAATTAAAAATATGAAACCATAATTTATGAAATAAAGAACAATTATGATCTAAAGGTATCAAAATTTACAAAAAAAAAAGCTTAATATTTATTTGTTTACTTTATTAAACATTCTTTTCAATGTAAGTTTGTTTAAGTTGCTTCGTTTTTTATGTGATAATACATTCTCTTTAATTATATAAACAGACATAATTTCTTGTTCAGTTACAAAGTTCCGCTGTTCAAGTCCTATAATTGCTGTCGAGAATACCGACTAATTTGTCAATCGAAATTTTTCGTTTTCAATAACCTCTGTCACACTTTTCTTCGCTATCGGAAGCGAATTATAATGACGAGGAATTTGATTTAAATCATATCAAAGACGGAGTACATCGAGATGAAATACTACATTTAGTAAGGAATTATAAGCCAAATAAAATAAAAACATCTGCCCTGAAGATAAGGATAGTGTGACAGATCAACTTCCAATTCATTTGCGTGCGCCCGGCGTTTCAAAGATAAACAAAGTTTTAGATAAAACAAACGTTAAAGTTTAGATAAACAAAGGATATGCCTTTATCCATTTTTTGCAGCAATTCCACTTTTTTGTTTAATGGATTCGAAACATACTTTCGCTTTGTAGATCCTTTACATATTAGTAAATATATATCGGAAATTCTATTTGACATAATCGAAAGTTCAAGCTTACTTTTATAAAATTGCTCTAACAGTCTGCAAAAAATAATAAGCCGGATCCAATTCGAAGATTAAGGAACAACAATCTGCAACATTAACTGAATTAGATAATTTTAGCTTAGCTTTACCGTCCATTATACATTAAATGTATTCATAAACGTATTTTAAGTATTGTATTCGGTACACGCCAGCATAGCAGCCGTAAGGTCTTACGAGCACTCAGCGTGACGCTTGAGCAGAAAGTTTGTAACTTTGAGGTTCATTAGATCATTCCGGATTATGGGTGTCTGAATTAACAACATTTGAACTGTGCATAGAATATTACAAAGATAATTAAATTTTATACCCCAAGACCATTTCGTGGTATTAAGCAATTATGATGCAATCACACCGCTCACCGAAGGCTATAATATATAAAAGAAAATCAGGGTTTAAATTCATCAATTATATGGAAATGCACTAGCGAAGTAAAGCCCGCGGTTACAGAATTTCGCAGTAAGCTATTTGTATGACTGAAGTAATTATTGCTTTTAAGCTTGTATCACATTAGATGTAACTTGAAATTAATGTAGATAATTACTGAAGAATTATATTTTTGTAGCGTAATTTACGTGAGATGAGATCACTTGGGGCACGTGATACAACCGGCGAATCAGATGTTGAACCACGATACCATATAAATTCTTAAATTAACGTCTTTTTTACAAATTTATTGTTTTTAATTTATTGCTTTTTACAAAATTATAAAAAAAAAATCAATAAATGCTTCAAAATAGAAAATTCTTAGAACTAACATTTGTTAACATTTTTTATGGGTATACTGTATGTTGTCGCCAACAAAGTCTGCTTGGCAAGATTTGCACCAGCGAAACAGAAAAGTACCAAAATTTCTATTACAAACTAGTACTTACATAATAAATATCCCATGAAAAGCTAAAGCATTTTTTGATAGCGTAAATGCAATGTTAAATAACCAGTCTAAAATAATTCTCCAAAAATTTGTCTCATGCTGAATTTGTTCTTCAAGGTCTTTATCAATAGTCTTTTTTTTTCCTATGATTTTTACTGATCTCTAATACCTGAACGCCAACTAATCAAAGCTAGGAAACAACCCACAAGATTTGCAGTATACAGCATCTATTTACTTACAGTAACACAATGTCATGGCACATAGGTGTACTTTGTCATCAGTGTATATGCCCCCAAATTTTCATTTCCTTGTTTAGTATCTTTTGAAAAAGGGCATGTAGAATTTTCTTCATTTTTATCGTAATTAATTAGAAATCTTCTCATATTATCAGTAATATTTTTACTTATGTAATTACCTGTAACTGCTGTTGTGTGTGTATCTGCTTCTTCAGTATGTTTACTGCCAGTCTTACTAGTAGAGGCGACTTCAGATGATAATATTGTTTCTTTGCTAAGGCTGTTCAACCTTATTCCCAGATACAATATCTACCAAAGCATCTTTTTCTGGGTATGATATTTTAATAGCAAGTTGTTCAATTTTGGGTGCTTTTATTTTTTTTATGTCTCTCTCTTTAGTTTTTTTTTTTTTTTTTTTATTTTAGTTAATAATATCTCATTACATTTTAACAATTGTTATAATTATTTTAATATTTCTTACTTCCAAATTTTATTTTCCAAACAACTACTAATAAAGCAGTTAAGAGTCTGCAGAGTTAAATGCACAATCTTTCACAATTTGAAATTTACATTCAATCCATATAAAACTTCTTGAAAAAAATTTGAACTATAAGGTATAAAAGTTTTGCCATCATCTTAAAGTAGATGTGTAAGAATCCTTTAATATAAACTGTTGGACTAACTGTAACAACGAAGGTGCTCTCTAGTGAGTAGCTAGAGAAATACTCCAGTAAAAGCCAAGTTTTTAACCTGATAGGTTGTTTCAGACTCTTGCTCTGTAATTTTCTTAAAGTTAAATGTAATGTCCATGTGTAACTTAAACCTGTTAATAAATAATTGTTACCCTATAAAGGACCTTTTTATGATCCCATCCAAAACAACCCCCTCATTAAGTGATGCCCAACATTAATGTTTAGCTTTGAGAATTTTTGCTTGGCTTCTGCTCACTTTCTTTTTCAGAAACATTACTTGCATCCACATCTGTTGGATCCAGCAAGGATTTGATGATATTGGACCAAGTCAAAAGACAGTCACCTTCTGAATATAGAGAACATATTAAGGTTCATTGGTCTGAGTGGACCGATCCTCTTTATCGTGCAGATTATCACCAAGTGAAGGTTCATACTGATGATTAAGACAAGACAGCATTTATGTCTCTTTGGAACATATCGCTTCTTAGGAATGCCCAGCAACATTCCAGAGATTGACAGACCATTTTCACAATGGACTTGAGGACATCTTAACCCTCACCTATCTGGACGACATAATAATTTTTTCAGAACCATTCGAGAAACTCCTTTCCAACCTCAAAGCCATTTTCAAAAGGCTTTTGCTCTTCAAACTGCACGTAAACAGGGAGAAGTGCCACTTTGCTTCTTCTCGTGTGAAATATTTGGGATTTTGGATCACACGAAAAGGAATAGAAGTTGATCCAGAAAAAATTTTCTCTATCCAGAGAGCCCACCAGCGGCCGAGCAGTAACGTCGCTGAACCCTGGTAGTTTGGTATGAGGTTTGAATCCCACGAATGGGTTGGCTGCATGGGCGTTTTCATGGTTTTCCACATGTTTAACATGTATACGAGTCAGTTTCCCTTAGAAAGTCCTTTACGAAGGCATCCCTCCCTTATCTTAAAGCAGATAACCCTTGAGAGCTTTGCTGTAATCTAATAAAAAACAAAACAAAAAATCTATCCAGAGAATTCCACTTCTCCAAATGTCAAGAAGCTGCAATCCTTCCTTCAAATGTGTTCTTGGTTTAGACGATATATACAAAACTTTGCGGAAATATCATGACCCCTTAGTGATTTGACAAAGAAAGTCCAATGGGAATGGGGTTTCAACCAGCAAAAAGCATTTAAAACTCTAGAAAACTGCCTCATAACATCTCCTGTGTTGAAGCAAGCAAATGGAACTCAACTGTATATTCTTCGAACAGATGCAAGCAACTATGCACTTGGAGCCATTTTACTTCAAGGGAAAGGGTCAAATGAGCCCCTATATACCAGCAGACTGCTTTCTCTGGCTGAGCAAAAGTATTTGACAACTGAACGAGAAGCCCTACCTATAGTCTGGGCCAAGAAATTCTGTGGTTGTGTTGAAGTATCAGAAGCATCTGATCATCAACCTTTAAAATAGCAGACTTGCTAGATGGGTGCTTGAAATTCAGTCCTTCAACCTGAATGTATAATACATTCCTGGAAGGGTAAACATCATCGCTGACAAGTTCCGAATATGAAGTCTCACTTTACGAGATTTCAAATATATATAAAGTGGACAATGCCCACAAGAAGTCCAAAAGACATGCGTGAATCCTACTTAAAGATGAAAATTTAAAATAGATTATAAAAAGTCTCAAATTCACTCAGAAAACTGTAGAATGCGCCATTTGGACTGAACGGGTATTCTTAATGAATCAAGGTGTTCTCTGCCGATACATTTCTGACTCTGATTCATAAGAGGCCCAGTTAGTAATTCCAACTGCCTAGTATGAATTCATCATGCGAAAGCACCATGATTGTCCAATGGCTGAACATTATAGAGATGAAGGCACATTCCAAAGAATTGCCAGATGCTATTATTGGACTAGTATGAAAAAGTATATATCCGCCTAAGTGAAAAGCTGTCCTGAATGCAACCGCTACAAGGCTACCAACCAAAAGTCAGCGGGACTGGTAAGAATCCCTGTCTATTCTCAAGATTTTGAGATCATACCTACCAATTTGTTTGGGCCACTGCTAAAAACTGACACTGGAAAACAATGGATCTTCATTGTCGAAGACTGTGCTATAACCCTCATCAAAGAAGTATTCATGCGGCATGGTATACCACAAAGAATCATCAGCGATAATGGAACCCAGTTTATCAGTGCCGTCAAGCAAAAAGTTAGCTGCACATTAAATATCAATCAAAACTTGATACCAGTTTACTTTCCTCAATCAAATCAATGGAATGGAAAAACAGAGACTTAAAACCTTGTCTTGCAATCCTTGTAGGAGATGCACATGACAATTGGCATTCGAAACTCCCAGTTATTCGCTTCGCAAAGAATACAGCCATTTGTGACACTACAAGCCATACACCAGCATTCTTAATGTTTGAAAAAGAGCTGAGGACTGTTGAGGACGCTGTCCATGATTTTAAAGCTTTGGTTGAAAATAAAAACTTTGTTCCTGAAATCACCTCTTATCTTAAACAATTTGCAATTATTACAAAGGACATACGAGAACATATCGAAATGAAGCAAGATCAATGTAAAACGCAATATGATAAAGGAAAATGATAAGTGTTTTACTCACCAGGTGATAAAGTATGGGTCAATTTAAATCCCATTAGCAACGCAAAAAATAAAAAGACCAAAGCGTGAGGGTCCATACTTGGTAATGACACAGAAATCACCTACTTTCTATGTCATTTCAAGCCTTCCTAAATCATCAGAATCCTTAGGGACGTACCATACATCCGCACTAACACTTTTCAAAGACTCATCCACTTCTCCCCTTCTTCTGCTCAGGAAGAGAGGTAGGCCGCCAGAACTAATCAAATTCCCAAACTAATCAAGAACTTGAGGTTTCGGACAGTGCTTCAAAGAGAGGTCCTCTTGCCCAGGAAACAGACAAACAAACAAATAACCAAAAAAAAAAAAAAAAAAAAAAACTGAGAACAGAGACAATATTACAAGAGCTACCAATCTTCCAGTTCTGTCTCCTTGCTGGAATGTCAGTGGAGCCAGAGCGGGAGTTTGTAACAATCCTTTAATATAAACTCTGCTGCTAATATAAACTAACTGTAACTAACTGTAACAATGAGGGTGCCCTCTGGTGAGTAGCCAGAGAAATACTTCAGTAAAAGCCAGGTGTTTAACCTGATAGGTTGTTTTAGACTCTTGCTCTGTAATTTTCTTAAAGTTAAATGTAATGTTCGTGTGTAACGTAAGCTTGTTAATAAATAATTGTTACACTATAAGGACTGTTTTATGACTCCATCCGAAACGACCCCCATCATAGATGTATTTTTAGGCATACCTGCAAAAAATTAAAATTTGTTATTCAAAATTTCCGAAAATATGCGTGAATTTATATATTAGCATATATGTTATAAGCAATAATAATACCAAATATGGTTTATGCACTTTGTTAAAATTATTTGAAAGAATGAACAATATGCCTTTTGTTCCACTCGTACATAGTGAAAAGAAAAGGAAAATTGGTTATCATAAACTAAGAAATTCAGAAAGTGAATTATTTTTGCCGCAAACTGAAAAAAGTGTGCCAAGACATATTTTAAAATTTCTCAGTAAAGTCTTTCTCAAATTTTATGAAATTTAATATTTGGAAATAATCTGAGTCATAGAATCAAAATATAGAAAAAAATAGGTATGTAATTTCAGTAAAAGTCCAACTTTGTGTCTAAATACCCATATTAGAATAGTGTTATATCTAAATGTAATACGTATCCTAAGTCAACTTTCAAGACGTGAAAAACGCAAGTTAAATTTTGTCAATTGGCCTAGTAAAACAGGAGATATGCAACTTTTTTAGTGCAAGGTGTATGTGTAAAATAAAAAAAAATAGGTAAGGTAAAATTCTAACTTTAATTGATTAGCTTATATTTAAGGGTGCTCCTTGGATTATCGCCAAATTGTTTCATTTATGGTAACATGAGTAGTTGGATGTTATGGAAATCCTATTATGACGTAAATGGTTGTGGTGAATTTTACTGATGGGAAAATATTTGTTGGATATTAGTTAGGAATTACATCGCGTATTGCGTGCTTTGCATCATAAAATGGCTTCCTGTGGAAAGTGGGTGTTTGGTGGTATAAAATGAGAGGGCGATTTTTTTTTTTTTTTAAGTGGTTGAAAGCAGAAGAAATGAAACTTTGTTGGAAGTAATTCAACAGAATTATAAGTGTCCTGTTTGTACGAAGGAAATATGCATGGTTGAATGTAAAGATCATTCAGATGGCTTTGAATTGGTTTATCGTAAGAAAGGTTCAAATGGTCACTATATAAAGCATTCAGTTAGAAAGAGAACATGGTTTGAGGAAAGCATTTGGATGCTGTTAAGGAATTTTATGTGCCACAGACTGAAGACACAAAAATAGATTGATGTGTACATGGACATACTGAAGGCAGTGCGCAATGCCTAGTTTGTGCAATTCTAGGATTTTTTTTAAAGTAAAAACAGATCGATGTGTACATGGACACAGATCTTGTGCAATTCTTTGACTTCTTATTTTGGTTTTGTGTAGCGGCCATCTTGAAATTGTGAATTTCTGGCGCCGATCTTGCCGTCAAAAAAGAATCGCCAATAAACAAGGGGCGCCCAATAGTAAACTTTTACCTGTTTCATCAACAAGAAAAGGTTTATCAACTAAGGATGACTGCTCCTACACCTTCACAAAACTCCAACAATGTATATGGATTTATGCATACATATTAACTTGTCTCTATGTTTTGTAGTTTTTTATACATTGTGAACAAGATTGTAACAATCTGTGATATTTTGGTGATAAAATGGATTTAGCTGTCAAACAACTATTCTCATACTTGCAGAACGCCACACATACAAGGCACCGAGAAAAATAAAACTTTCAGCAATATACAACGGGCACTCTTCAATCTTCTCAGCTGATCTTTGGAATATGGTAACTGGTAGTTTGGCGACATTTTGGAAGCAATAAAGGTTACTACTTAGGACTTTGGTAATAATGTGAGAAGCACTCACTTCCGATTACGCATTATTTTGTGTGAGGGAAATGAGAGATCATGAGATATGTCCTGTGACATTAATGGACGAATTACAGTTGTTTAATCGGAAAAGGGGGGAAATCTGGAAATTTCGTAGTTAGCTATATTTTGTGTTGTGTGAAATGTGACATTAATGGACAAATTACAGTTCTTTAATCGGAAAAGAGGGTTAATTTGGAAAAGCTTCATTGTGTGTTGTGTGAAATAGTGTTGATTAATTTTCAGATTGCATGGCGCTATCTAAAGTGAATTCTAAATTTTTAATGCGTTCATCTGATAATAATAATAAGTTGAGATTGTATGAAAGGAAGGATATTACAGTTTAAATGGTGGTGCAAGAAATATGGTGAAAATGGACATTTTGTGAAAAAGAGTGTAAGGAAGGGTGCGTGGTTTGCTGAAAGTAGTTTTTGAGTATAGGTGAAATTTTATTAATTTCTTTTCTATTACTTTGGTGAATAGACTTCCAGTTGACTACTGGATTTAGGATTTAGAAATTAGCAGTAGTACTGCAGCCACGTAATGAAGATTCTGAAGAAGATTAGGTAAGTTAGTATTTTTAATCATTTGAGGATATTATATTTATGCATTGTTCTAAATGTTAGGAGTAAATAAATTAATGCGGTATTATTGCAAAATTGTTATTAGCAATGATTTAGTTTAAAGTAATTAGGATTGTAATCTAATTCTTATTAATTTAATGTATGTGCTTATTTATATAAGTAGTGTTTTTTAATTTAATTACATTTTAATTTAATGATCGTGATTTTATGAGGTATATATTTGTAGTATTTTGGAATACGTTTGAGTAGTATACGTTGAGTATTTTCATGCATTTTCATGAAATTTTTCTAATTTATGAGAAAAAAAAGCAGTGTACATGGATATAGCGAAGAGTGTGCGCAATGCCATTTTTGTGCAATTCTGGGATGTTTTTTTAAGTAAAAATAAGTCGAGGTGTACATGGTTTAGTGATATTTTAATTAAATGATAGTTATTTTGTGAATTTTATGTTTGTAGGAATTTGGTATACGTTTCAGTTGAAGTAAACATGTATGGAAATAATTTAAATATTTGGCACTAAGTATTTGTAACTATTTTTAATGTTTGCGTATAAATTCGTTAGTGACGTTTATAATATAATAGATAATTTAGAGGTAAAAGCTTTTGGATATTTTATTTATTTTATATGTGAAATGTTTATCCTTGGAAAGGGTATGTACTTTTTCGCGATCAGGTAATTTCATATATGTGCTTTTTATCGAGTTTAAAGATTAAGAAAATTTTCCTGCATTTTCGTGCAAATTTTTGTAATTTATGAGAAAATAGCAGTGTAGATGGATAAAGTTAAGAGTGTGTGCAATGCCATTTTTTGGCAATTCTGGGATTTTTTTTAAGTAAAAATAAGTCGACATGTGAATTTTTTATTTTTATGTGCTATTGTAAAAACGCGGAAGGAGTTATGAGATTAAATGCACTTTTTCCGGCGTAATATTTTAACAAGTTAACCCATTAAGTTACCATGAATGTAAGCAGTTTTTGTTACCAAAATTTCTAGCATCAGTGTAATTTGGCTAGTAGATTGTAGGAAAAAGTGTTGAGTAAATAAAGAAGACAAAATGGGGGCGAAAAAAAAATAGAGGGTTGCTGTAGCAGAGTTGGTCGCCAAAGTTTCGCCAAAAAATCGCCAAGTTACCATAATCCAAAGATCAACCATCTTCTCTAACCGATAAATAAAATTCTCGAATACTGTTAACAGTTGTATTTATTTGGAATTACAATACAGTCAGTTTTATAGATTTCGTTTCAAAACAAATAATTTATACGAAGAACTTGATTAATTCCATAAAACTATAAAAATGGTCCTATAATTAATATTTCTGAAACAGTAGTTTTATATCAAAATCTAAAATTCTAATCGATAGTGAACTATGGAACTTAATTTCACACGAAAATATAAAACCGTAATCCACAAAATCCCCCCCCCCAAAATGTGACTTTACAAGAAGTAAACTAAAGAAACATATATTTTCATATAAAAAGAATACTTAACAACGTTCATATAATGCATAGTAATTTTCATTTTTAAGGGAAGAGCATGAGAACGTAATCGCAATATTACTTCGATCATTAGCACAAAAATAAGATTTCAAAATAAAACTACCCAATAAAAAAATTTAGACTATATGTATTCATTTCCATACCCGTTTAACAGTTGTTGTTCGTAAATGAAATGCATTAGAAAAATTAGATAATAATGGAAATTTAAAGTTCCAGCCACGGTTTACAAACAAACGAATACTCGCAGCCATGCTCTCTTGTTAAATCGTGAGTGTAGATGTTTCAAAGCTTCGTGGAAAATAAGCTAATAAAAATAATTTGTTTCTTAATATCTAAAAATAATACTTATTAGCTTAAATATATTATTATTGAAAGATTTAATTATAGCATTATAATTAACATATCCTTAGTTTAACAAACAACTAAGGAAATTAAACATTAATTAAATTAAACAGAAATTAAATTACAAATTAAGTACTTAAAAATTGAATTAAATTTACATACAAATAAAATTTATTAAACAGTTCTTAGTTTTAGAATGAAAATTTTTAATCTGTAATACACTTATGAGTTTTAAGCTTTTGTTATGGCCGAGCCTTCTGCTGAAGAGCATTTGTACCATGAAACGGCGAAGTTTGTGTGTGAGTTTCTGTTATCAGTGTTGATGTGAAGTTCTTAGTGTGAAATTGATCAAAATGATAGAATTGTTGTCGTTATTTTTAATGTTGTGTTACTGAATTCGTCTTGATTTCACATTTAGGAAGTTGGTTAGTATAAAAATATTGTATTGTTTCCTTTGCGGTCGCTCTTACTGTGGATAAGATTCCGGTATCTTTTAAATCGGTAATTCCCAGTATTACATGTTTTATGTAATAACTTATACGCAATATACTTGTCAAAATGATTGTTTATACTCACATTTCATCGAAGGAGAGAAATATTTTTGTATGTTGTTTGAATGTATATTTGTAGTCTTTTATGATTTTCAAGATCTCTTTATCTTGTGGCCAAAAATAGTAAATGAAATGTGTTAAGTGTTAGAATGAGTATGTTTTTTAATATCTTCTAATATTTAAGTTGAATACTTTTCATAAATTATGTGATTAATAATTATTCTGATATATGTTTGGTAAAATATTTTTTCTGCTGTAGATTATAATATATATTATCAAAACTAAATATATCATTTAAATGTTATCCGTATTTTCAATGAAAAAGGAGAACATTTGTGTCTTCTAAAAAGAAAATAGCAAATACTGTTTTATAGTTCGGTGATTAGAACGTAGAATTTTTCGCTTCTTACTAACTTTTGATTAATATCTATATAGAGCTCTGTCAAGTAAATTACTGTTTGTGAAAACAAATTGGATAGCAGATAGGCTGTTTGAAAAATCTTAGTGGCTGATCTTTACTGTACGGTACCGCTTGGTTTCTGTCTGAAAAAATTACCAAGTGTTATGGTTTTAATGTTTTTCTGTCTGAAAAAATTACCAAGTGTATGGTTTTATGACTTCAATTTATTATGTATTGTATAAAATATTACTTTAAAGTAATGTCTTGTTTTTTTTTTTTTTTCCTTGAAGAAATATTTAGGAACTGATTTTGGGGAAAGTGCAGAATCACCCACTGCTTGGTACGTTTTTAAGAATTGCACATACTCGGTATCCATATACACATTGACCTATTTTCACTTAAAACAACATCCCAGATTTGCACAAAAATGGCATTGTGCACTCCCATGACTTTATGCATGTACACATCGACCCAATTTCACTTAAAAAGTCCAAGAAAATTGACAAAAATCCAATTCTTACTCTTGTAAAAAGTGCCAAACAAATAAGTGGACGATTCTGTACTTTAGCTCTGATTTTATTGCAAATCTTGAAGTTGTGCAATTACTGAGTGAAGATCAAAATTAAATTTGGTTAATCTTTGGATTATGGTAACTTGGCGATTTTTTGGCGACCAACTCTGCTACAGCAACCCTCTATTTATTTTTCGCCGCGTTCTTTTCTTTTTTATTTTCTCAACACTTTTTCCAACAATCTGCTAGCCGAATTACACTTATGCTAGAAACTTCATGGAACAAAACTTATTAATTATGACAAATATTAACTGCAAAATTGGGAAAAAGTGCAGAATCGCAAATCCCTTGCCGCGTTTTTCAGATTCGCATATATACAGTAACCATGTGCACGTCGACTTATTTTTACTTAAAAAAACATCTCAGAATTGCACAAAAATGGCATTGCGCACAATCTTGACTTTATCCATCTACACTGCTATTTTCTCATAAATTACAAAAACTTGCACGAAAATGCAGAAAAATTTTGTGTATCTTTAAACTTGGTAAGAAGCACATATATGAAATTATCTGATCGCGAAAAAAATATATACCCTTTCCAAGGATGAACATTTCCACGTATAAAATAAATAAAATATCCAAAAACTTTTACCTCTAAGTGATGTATTATAAACGTCACCAACGAATTTATAATGCAAACATTAAAAATGGTTGCAAATACTTAGTGTCAAATATTTAAATTATTTCCATGCACTTTACTTCCACTGAAACGTATGCCAAACTGCTACAAACATATAATTCACAAAATAACTACCATTTAATTAAAATATAATTAAACCATGCACACATCAACTTATTTTTACTTAAAAAAACATCCCAGAATTGCACAAAAATTTTGTGAATCTTTAAATTCGGTAAAAAGGACATATATGAAATTATCTGATCGCAAAAAAGTATATACACTTTCCAAGGACGAACTTTGCACGTATAAAATAAATAAAATATCCAAAAACTTTTCCCTCTAAATTATCTATTATAAACCTCACCTGCCAATTTATAACCCAAACATTAAAAATGGTTCCAAATACTTAGTGTCAAATATTTAAATTCTTTCCATGCACATTTACTTCTACTCAAACGTATTCCAAAATACTACAAACATATAACTCACAAAATCACGATCATTAAATCAAAAAACACTACTTAAAATATAAATAAGCACATACATTAAATTAATAAAAATTAGCTTACAATCTTAATTACTTTAAACTAAATCATTGCTAATAACAGTTTTCCAATAATACCATATTAATTTATTTACTCCTTACATTTAGAACAATGCATAAAAATAATATCCTCAAATGATTAAAAATTCTAACTTACCTAATCTTCTACAGAATCTTGAGTGCATGGCGGATCACAAAATGTCCATTTTCACTCAGAATTTCTTGCACCGCCATTCAAACTTATCTGTAATATCCTTCCTTTCACACAATCTCTCTTTTATTTCATTCCCACATGTTGGACATTCATACTTATCCGCAATTAATCCTACAGTCATACACCATTCAACCAATTCTTTTGAATTATCAGATAAATACATTAAAAATTTAGAATTCACTTTAAATAGCGCCATGCAATCGAAAAATTAATCAACGCTCTTTCACACAACACACAATGAAGCTTAATACAAAATACTATAGTACTGCAGATATTTTTCCAAATTTACCCCCTTTTCTGATTAAAGAATTGTAATTTGTCCATTAATATCACATGACATATCTCATGATCTCTCATTTTCCTCACACAAAATAATGCGTAATCGGAACTGAGTACTTCTTACATTATTCCCAAAGTCCTAGGTAGTAACCTTTATCGCCTCCAAAATGTCATCAAACTACCTGTTACCATATTCCAAAGATTAGCCTTAAATTCATTACCAATTTTATAATCTTCAGTTTAATTGTATATGTGATCAATAATGTGATCATGCATGCAATAATGAAATGACCTTATATTCATGTGACATCATAAACTTCAAATCTGATAGTTTTACAATACTGTAGATCGATTGTGCAAGATACTTTACAAGTTGAGGAGTTTTAAAATATCAGTTGCCAGCAAAAGTGCAAAAGAACAGTCTAGTGTGTGATTTTTGAAGAAACACATTAAAAAACTAATATACAGAATATTAAAAATTTTTTCTTTCTTCAAATTATATAATATCTTCAAGGCAGATGTTTTTATTTTATTTGGCTTATAATTCCTTACTAAATGTAGTATTTCATCTCGATGTACTCCGTTTTTGGTATGATTTAAATCAAATTCCTCGTCATTATAAATATCACGAATACACATCAAAAGTTTTCTGGTTGCAATTTAATAAAGTAAACAAATAAATATTAAGCTTTTTTTTTTTGTAAATTTTGATACCTTTTAGATCATATTTACTGTTTATTTCATGAATTATGGTTTCATATTTTTAATTTTATAATTTCTCCATGCCATCTTACCAGATTCAAATTGATGATCTATAATCCGGAAAAACCGATAATCTGGAATCGCCGAAGTCCCAACGAGTCCGGATTAAAGACTTTTGACTGTATAAAGGGAATGATTATGAGATGCATTTGGTAGGTAGTCAATATTGCGGTGATCGGTGCGATGCCAGCTCCCTGCAATTCTCTTAAAATTTGCATTTTAAATTGCTAAAGTTATTTTTCTTTCTGCATAATGATGATGTCTGCTGAGTACGATAAACGTCTATAGTTTGGGAATCTTTCTAAGAAATTCACAAAAACCTTAAACTTGCACCTGATAAGTAACCTTTTTTCTTTTCATCTGTAAAAATCTGTAAATTGCACCAAGGTGGTGTGTACCTCAGTATCAAAATGTCTTTTGCAGTAAGCTTTTTTAATTTTGCAGTATGGAAAACCTTTGAAATTTATATCTTTGTCGTACAGTACAAATTTAACCTGCAGCAGTGTATGTTAAAAATTCTGTTATTAACATCTATTTTTTATTGCCTTAGAATTCTTCTGAATTTTTTTTTTTTTTTTTTTGTTTGTAGCTGATATGACCGTCCTAATGCCTAGCTGGTATTACGAGAAAAAGGACTTGAAACGCTCTCCTTCCATTCTAGATGGCTTGGACATTGAGAGAGAAAGCAGGTATCGTAGGGAAGGTGCACGTTTTATCATAAATGTTGGCACCAAAATGGGACTGTATCCTTTTATTATGTACTTAATATGTTGTTTTAAATATGATCTTTGAAATTTATTAAAAGATCATACAGATTTTTTAAAAATGACCTAGCATTACAAAGATTATGTATATGAATTATGGTGATTGAGTTATTTAATAAACATGAGACAGATTATTATAAGAAAAAGTCAGATAACATGAATATAATTTTTCTTGCTCATTAAGCTGGATAAGGCAGTGTTTCAAAATGTCATCTCTATTTCTGAAAATCTTAGATGCTTTTTATTTTTAAATTAAATTTAATTATTATTAAAATGTATTTAGATTGATTATCAAGAAACCGCTATGGTTGATCTTTACATTATGGTAACTTGGCGATTTTTTGGCGAAAATTTGGCGACCAACTCTCCTACAGCAACCCTCTATTTTTTTTCCCCGCTGCCATTTTGTCTTCACGAAGTAAAGACATGTTTCTTTTCTTTTTATCTACTGAACACTTCTTCCAACAATCTACTAGCCGAATTACACTTATGCTAGAAATTTTATCTAACAAAACTGCTTAATCATGACAAATATTCACTGCAAAATTGGGAAAAAGTGCACAATACCATACTCCTTATGCATTTTTCAAAATAACACATACACATAAACCATGTACACGCCGACTTATTTTTACTTAAAAAAAAATCCCGGAATTGCACAAAAATGGCATTGCGCACACTCTTCGCTATATCCATGTACACTGCTTTTTTCTCATAAATTAGAAAAATTTCACGAAAATACATGACAATTTTCTCAATCTTTAAACCCGGTAAAAAGAACATATATGAAATTACCTGATCGCGAAAAAGTATTTACCCTTTCCAAATATGAACATTTCCACATATAAAATAAATAAAATATCCAAAAACGTTTTACCTCTAAATCATCTATTACATTATACACGTCACCAACGAATTCATACCGCAAGCATTACAAATACTTAGTATCAAATATTTAAATTATTTCCATGCACGTTTACTTCAACTTAAACGTATATACCAAATTCCTACAAACATAAAATTCACAAAAAAACTATCATTTAATTAAAATATCACTAAACCATGTACACGTCGACTTATTTTTACTTAAAAAAACATCCCAGAATTGCACAAAAATGGCATTGTGCACTCTTCACTATATCCATGTACACTGCTTTTTTCTCATAAATTAGAAAAATTTCACGAAAATACATGACAATTTTCTCAATCTTTAAACCCGGTAAAAAGAACATATATGAAATTACCTGATCGCGAAAAAGTATTTACCCTTTCCAAATATGAACATTTTCACATATAAAATAAATAAAATATCCAAAAACTTTTACCTCTAAATCATCTATTATATTATAAACGTCACCAACGAATTCATACCGCAACCATTACAAATACTTAGTGTCAGATATTTAAATTATTTCCATGCACGTTTACTTCAACTAAAACGTATACCAAATTCCTACAAACATAAAACTCACAAAATATTTATCATTTAATTAAAATATAATTAAATTCAAAAAACACTACTTAAAATATAATGAGCACATACATTAAATTAATAAAAATTACCTTACAATCCTAATTACTTTAAACTAAATCATTGCTAATAACAATTTTCCCAATAATACCAAATTCCTTTACTTCCACCTTACATTTAGAACAATCCATAAAAATAATATCCTCAAATAATTAAAAATACTAACTTACCTAATCTTCTTCAGAATCTTGATTACGTGTCCGATAAACTTTTCTTCTTTCTGTTTCAGGATCTTTAAAATCATACTTATATTTCACAGCAAGGTACCAGGTAAAATAAATAACTTAATAAAACATCTTTATTTCTATCTCGCACAACATTAAAGAAACATTTATTACTACCCTTTTCAATACCACTAAATACCCATTTCGAATTTGCTTTAGTTACAGCCATGGGATCCAAAAATTCACGAACACTGTTTCACACAACACAGAATAAAGCCAAATACAAAATTTCCAGATTTTTTCCCGTTTTTCCCCCTTTTCCAATTAAAGAACCGTAATTCGTCCATTAATATCACATGACATATCCCATGATCTCTCATTTCCCTCACACAAAGTAATGCGTAATCGGAACTGAGTACTGCTCACATTATTACCAAAGTCCCAGGTAGTAACCTTTATCGCCTCCAAAATGTCGCCAAACTACCAGTTACCATATTGTAAAGATCAACCAAAGCTATATTTATTTATGATAAAACTTTTATGAAATAAGAATTATTTGTTAAATACATTATTTTTAAAGCATTATTTTAATTTTTATTACCTTTCTTTTCAATCAGTTTAATTTTTGGCTAATCTTTGGAATATGGTAACAGGTAGTTTGGCGACATTTTGGTAAGGCGATAAAGGTTACTAGCTAGGACTTTAGCAGTGTACATGGATAAAGTCAAGAGTGTGCGCAATGCCATTTTTGTGTAATTCTGGGATGTTTTTTTAAGTGAAAAATAGGTCGACGTGTACATGGATACCGTGTATGTGCAATTCTTAAAAACGCGGCAAGCAGTTTGCGATTCTGCACTTTCTCCCAATTTTGCACCTAATCTTCGTCATGATTAAGCACTTTTGTTCCATAAAAGTTCTAGCATAAGTGTAATTCGGCTAGCAGATTGTTGAAAAAAAATGTTGAGAGGAAAAAAAAAAAAAAAAAAAAAAAAAAAAAAAAAGCCTTTACTTTGTGAAAACAAAATGGCGTCCAAAACAAAACTAGCAGGTTGCTGTAGCAGGGTTGGTCGCCAAATTTTAGCCAAAAAATCGACAAGTTACCATAATCCAAAGATTAACCTAATTTTTTAATAAATTTATCAGAGTTCTCTAATTTCTGAATTCTGTTCTGATTTTATTACAAATTGATACCTAAAGTTGTTGGCGCCTCACACAATTATGGTCTCGTCCTTTTTTTTTGTAAAATTACAAAAAGGAAGCAAAATACTACCTTAATGAGTTCTAATGTTTCCTTTTTTTAAAAAAAATTAGTAGAGCAAATTTTGAAAGCTTTTTTTTTTTTTTTTTCTTCCTATTTGCTTATATGAAACAAAGGGAAATTATAATACAGTAAAAGTCCAGAAATCCGCAAAGCTTGGGACCAGAGGTTTTGCGGATTTTAGGATTTTGTGAGTTTCAGGACAGAAAAGATAAATCGTAATATTCAGACTAAAAGTGCAAAATAAAAAAGGCATATTAGATACAGTCAAAAGTCGTTAATTCGGACACCCATAATCCGGAATGATCTATAATCCGGCCATCAAAGCTAAAATCTTTCTGCGCATACGCTGCGTTGACGCATGCGCATAGGCGTTTACGCGTGCGCGCAAGACATTTACGACTGCGCATATGCGTCTGCGCAAGCGCAGAATATGTTTTCGCGTGCGCGTTTAATGTATAACAGACGATATAAGCGCTAAAATTATCTAATTATCTATTTCAGTTAATGTTGATGATTGCGTTGTTCCTTAATCTTCGAATTGGATCCGGCTTATTATTCTTTGCAGACTGTAAGAGCAATTGTATAAAAGTAAGCTTGAACTTTTGATTATGTCAAATAGAATTTCCGATGCTGGAGCTCCCAAAGGATCTAGAAAACAAAATTATGTTTCAATGTCCATCAAACAAAAAACGAATTGCTACAAAAATGGATAAAGGCATATCCTTTGTTTATCTAACCGTTCCGAAATCTGTTTATCAATTTCACGCTGCTCTGGCGGGGGGGGGGGGGACGTCGCGGCGGAGCGCAATGAACTGGAAGTTGATCTGTTAGCACTATTGTTATCTTCAGGGCAGATGTTTTTATTTTATTTGGCTTATAATTCCTTACTAAATGTAGTATTTAATCTCGATGTACTCCGTCTTTGATATGATTTAAATCAAATTCCTCGTCATTATAAATATCGCGAATACAAATCAAATAGTTTTCTGGTTGCAATTATCTAATTTCGGCTATGCGTAAGGTATGCTTTACGCATGCGCGCGTTGAAAGAAATGTTTAGTAAAGTAAACAAATAAATATTAAGCTTCTTTTTTTTGTAAATTTTGATACCCTTTAGATCATAATTGCTCATTATTTTATAAATTACGGTTTCCTATTTTTAATTTTATAATTTCTGCATGCCATCTTACCAGATTTAAACTGATGATCTATAATCCGGAATCGCCGAAGTCCTGACGTCCAGATTAAAGACTTTTGACTGTACATTTAATTAAATTATTATATACGTTATTGCAATAACATATTATATGCCTTAAATTATTATTACATATATAAATTGATTATATTATTCATTGTATTATATGTACACTGCATCGTTTAAAAAATTTGCCAAATTCGCCTCATGCAAAGATTTCTGTTTTCGAATTCCGGTGTTAGAATCACTGTTGCTGTAAAATTTCAACAGCTTTTCTTTATTTTTCCGTATATCATATACAATCGTGTCGCAGTTTCATAAGATTCTGCTATAAAACAAGGAGTAGCACCTGCCTCCATCTTTTGCAGAATTTGCACTTTTTGCATTACCGGCAATGCAACGTGTTTACGTTTTTCAACGTTGCAAGCAGTAAAATCATGATTGCATTTCTTATCTGTAATTGTATTAAAAAGGGCTGAAATTTAAAATATTCTTAATTTATCCACAAAATATCCGGTTAAAAAAAATAAGGCAGCACTAAATAATCTCTTGAAATAACAAATCTCAGAAAATACAACATGAATCGTGAACTTGAAAGAAGTGTGAATCGTCTGCTTTTTTACCTCGTTGCAGATTAGAGGGCAAATAACTTTTATCATGATGTCAATAATTTGGTATTTCCGTTATGACTCATTATTATTCGGTAATTATGAAGTCATTATTCGGTAAGTATTTTTTCTAAGATATTTCGTTCTCAATGTTGCGGTTTCTGGAACCTATAAACTGAATGTTTATATTTTGAGAGGCAATGTGAATTTCAGGTCGGCGGATTTTCGGTATTTGACTGTACTTTAAAAAACAATGTTTGGTACAATGCGGAGTATTTATGCAGAATATGAGTCCAACAAGTTAATAAAATACTAATTATACTTAGGGAATCACTTTCGTAGAATAATCATGTGAATCAGATTACCTCTGTGATGTAAAACATTATAGTATGTTATGTTGATATTTTGTGCCCGAAGATTGTGGAAGGCATTAAATTATCAATCCTTCATTGTCTTAATAAATGAAAACTTCTGAATGTTGGTAGCTTTATTTATTGGAATCCCTTTGCATAATCATTTCATTGCATGGATGTCTTTAAAATATTTTTTGTATATAATATAAATAACAGTCTCCTCATAAAATGTTTTATGAAATTGTCTAAGGCTGTTAACTTAAATATGCTTTACAATAATGAAGTAACTAATATAATCACTCTAACAAAACATAAGCCTGGTTACGAAGTGGCTAGCACATCAGGTTGACTCAGCCTTTCATCCCTTAAGTGGGTCGATAAAATGAGTACCAAGTTCGCTTGGAGACTGGGACAAGCTGACCATTTGCCCAGGGCATATGCTAATGCACTTCGGGGCCCAAAGATCAAGAAAGCAGAAAAAGGGCACTACAGCCCATGGCCACCTGGGCTGTTGTGCTACTGAGTGTAGTTTTTTTTTTAGTTTATTTATAAAAAAACATAGATGATTAGGTAGTATTTCAGAAAAGTGAAAATAAATTCCTCGCTAATATATCTCTGTTTTGCATACAAAGAAGTAATATATACAGGGTGAATATAAAAAGGTAGGAAAAACTTTATGGGGTGATAGAACACAGCTATATGAGCAATATTCATCATAGAATGTATGGTTGGAATGCAAGCGGTGAGAAGTTAAAAGGTAGGTTTCTACTGTCACATTTAAAGAATTAACATAAGAATGACAGGAGATACTTAAAAAAAAAAAAAAAATTATGAACAGGAATGTAACTAATGTACATCCTCGAAAGACCTTCCGCCAGCCGTAATGCAGGCTTCACACCTGCAGAATAGGAACTGACATATTTGGGAAAACACCAGGCACTTTCTGAGTATCGCCGGCAACAATGGCTTTTCATACGGCCCTACAGGAAAAAGTCCAAATACAAGAGATTTGCTGATGTTCGTGGCCAAGCTATGGGACCACCTTGATCTATCCATCGCCCTGGGAACTTTGTATCTAAAGTGTTCGACGAATCCAAGCTGAAGTGTGCAGGTGAACTATCGTGCTGGAACCACATTCTTGACCTGATGGGAGCTGGAGTCGGATTCCTCTCGTGGAATATGTGATACGATTTGCTGTCCAGATGGTGTAGCAGGAGGTATGGACTAACAAAGTGGTCATGGAGGATTCCTGCCCAAACGTTTACGGAGAACTGCCACTGGAATGAATGAGGACATGTGGCATGCGGTTGGTAGATGCCCACGTATGTGAGTTGTGAATATTAAAAGCGCCCTCGTGGGTGAAAGTGCACTTGTCCATGAATAGAGCATGTGCACCGAAATGTGGCTGATCTGCATTCCAGTGGAGGTACCAATGTGTGCAATCTACATTTGACTGTTAGTCCACCGGTGACAAGGCTTGTACTTTCGTGTGATAGGAGTGCGTTTGTTCCGCTTGTAACACTCACAAACCGTCATTACAGACATGTGAAACCCCTTGTGTGCTACATCCTGGTTGATCTTCCACCCTACGCAGAATATTCTCTGAAAGCTATTGTATCCTGACACTCCTTTCACTCCCTGTGACTTGCTTGGCTACGGAGAAGGATCCCATTTCACACAGCCGGTGATGCAAACGCTCCCATGTTTTCAGATCTGGGGTCTGCCACATCGAAAACCATTCCTGATAAAGTCTCTGTGCCTTAATCACATTTTCGTCCACAACGCTCTACACAAAGTGCATATCCTTAATTTCGTGATTCGTGTACAATCCACAGTAAAAAATGCCATTGGGTCTCCAACTTCAATTCCTGCTGTATTCCAAGACTAGCATGAACTTTTACATGCTATTTTGCAGTTGTCATGATGTAAAGATGCCATAATGGTGAGGAAGGTAGAGTGTATCATAGCGGAGGCACTCCAAAGAGAGACCAGGAGGTACAAAAGGGGGCCAATACTTGACTTTCAATTGTTAGATGCAAGACCGACCCTTTTTGTACAATTTACAATGTCAGCTATCGGCTGGCCGTTTGCATTCTACCAGTTTAATTCAGTCTTTGATATATGATTGAAGACATGAAGTAAGAAATTTAGAACTAATATTTCACAAAGACTGGAAATTTAAATTCATAATTAATAAATTTCTTACTTTATATCTTTAATGATAATTTTTCTACAGCTTAATGCGCAAAAATACTACGCATGTTTATATTTTATTTTCAAAAGAATTGTTCTGTAATTATATATATATATATAAATCAATTATTCATAATAATATATAGGCTTTTTAATTTACTTTTAATTGCTTTAATTTGAATTTATATATAGAACATATTACTTTTTAATAATATGATAATATTTATGACGTGTACAAGATCTTTTGATATACTGGAATCATAATTTTCTGAGTCTTTGAATTTATATGCACAGTATTTAACAGTTACAGATAAATTGTTTCTTAACTGCTGGAGAAAGTTTCCTTTTTATTCTGTATTTCTTGGTGTTTGAAATGTAAATTTAATGGCTATGAAATTTGATTTGCTAGAGATTTTTAAAATCTTAGGAAATATGTGATATCTTAAATTGTAAAAGTATTTTTTTGAATGCAAATATTTTTCTTTGATTTCATATCTGAGTAATTTTTCTTAACCATGCATTTAGACGGTATGATACTATGGCTACTGGTGTTGTATATTTTCATAGGTTTTATATGTTTCATTCCTTCAAGACATTTCCTAGATATGTAAGTAGCCCTTTTTCTTCAAATATTTTAATAAATATTTATTGTTTCATATTTTAATAAAATGTATTTGTGTTATATATATGTAGTCTACTGGAAAATCCTGTCCATTTGGGAAGTGAAAGAAAATAATAAAATTTTCATTACTTTAATAATAATTATTTTACAATGTAATTTCCGTCATTATATATGATCTTTTGCCCAATTTGATGAGAATTTGTAGAAACCATTTTTGAAAAAAAGTTTTGTCTTTAGGGGTGAAGAACTCAAATAGTGTTTGGCTGACATCTATTTCAGTTTTGAATTTTTTCCTTTCAAAAAAATTTGCTAAAAGAGAGACAAATGATAATAAGAGGGTGCTAGGTCTGGAAAGTATGGTGGATGTGGCAGAATTTCTCAACCTAGCTATTCAGTTCTCTGAATCACCAAACCAGCAGCATATGGTCTGTCATTATCATGATGTAGTATATTATTGAATAGAATACTACTTCCTACTGAATAGCATCGACCTCTATTCTTTGATTGCTGTGTTTAAGTCGTCTATTTGCCAATGGTGTCACTCTGAGTTTTTCTTAAGTTTCAAAAGTTCCTAATGTATTGGTCTTTGTATGTTCCATCATATATGCAGCATTCTCTTATTCGGTCTCAAAATTGGTTTAGTGGTAGAGGGGGCAGGTTGTTCAGACTCACAGTATGCTGTTTTCCTAACAGTGTTTTCATAGAGAATCGGCTTTTCTTTCCCAGTTATCATTCGGTCCAAAAAGTGTTAATTTTTGTTCCAAGCAATATGAGATGTGCATATGACTACTGGATCATGCAAATTTTTCTCATTCAACTCATGAGGCACCCAATTGGAATATTTATATAGACCAAACCTAGTTTTCGAATATGGTTAAAATGGTTTGTTGAGCTGAATTAAGCTTTTCTGTAATCTAGTGATGTCAAAAAAGGATCTTCTTACAACGTCATTATCCATTAAAGACAGCCGCCCAAAGTGTGGTTTATCCTTAAGGTCAAAATCTCCTGCTTCAAATTTTTCAAACCATATCATAACATCTTTTATCCAAAGCTGCATCTCCACCCAAAACTTTCACTAAATTTTGACATGCTTTTGTAACATTTGTGCCTTTGTGGAATTTGTTCAAAATACAGTGTCATAAATGCGATTTTTAGCGCAAAAATCACCACTACGCAAGCCAAAATAACAAGACAAAGAATTGCACAAACTCGGTATCCATGTGCACATCGACCTATTTTCGCTTTAAAAATCCCACAATTGCACAAAAATGGCATTGCCAACTCCCTTGACTTTATCTATGTACACATCGATCTATTTTCATGTAAAAAAAATCAGAGAATTGTACGGACTAGGCTAAATCTTTGTTACACAAAGCCAAAATAAAAAGATAATTGCACAAACTTGGTATCCATGTACACATTGACTTATTTTCACTTAAAAAAAACATTTCAGAGTTGCACAAAAATGGTATTAATTGCACAAACTAGGCTTTGCACATTCCCTTGAGTTTCTCCATATACACATCGAACTATATGCACTTCAAAAGTCAAAGGAGTAACCAACAAAAAATATATATAATCTCAATAAACTATATTTTAAATCAAACACTGAAATAACATGAAAAAGGAAATTCATCTTTGCACTACACAAAGGAAATATTCACTTACATTATTTACGAATTCACACTTCTTCAGTCAAAGAAAATTCCTTAACTTCCATCCAAAAACTTCCTAAACTTATCTGAACTAAAATCTGTATACTGGCATTGCCACATAAATTCACAAAATAAGAGTTAAAAATATCCTTCATAAGAACGTTCGACCATTACACATTTCCTTCCTGCAAACAGTACACCTAATAATGGCTACTAAGTAAACCTTCATTTACACACCAGTCAAGTAATGCTCTATTCCCCTTTCTTTCAAATCATACAGAAACTTCAAATTAATCTTACCACATTCGGCCATTTTACTGTCTAAGCCACGAAACAAGCCATGTACTTCTTAACCAACACAACCACAAGCTCTTATGAATTTACCACAATGATTACCTCATAATAGGGTTTCCATAACATTCAACTACTCAGACTACCATAAATGAAACAACAACTTGGCAATAAATGAAACAGCAACTTCGCGATAATACAAAGAGTGTCCTAAAGTCAACTCTAACCTCGTTTTTTTATTTAAATTGAAGGTAGATTTGTTGATTTTATAGAAGTTTGTTTTAATTTGTCTAGGCCGATATCCGTGCAAAATATGTAAACAAAGGATTATTTGAAAACAGTCTTTCTTTACGAACTGAATATGATGTATAAATCATATTTAGTTGGTGAAGAAAGATTGTATTGCTTTTTTCTTGAAGTGATATGTAACTCATAAGTTTATTAATGTCTTTAATACTTATCATATGTGAATAAAGTTTAAATTATTTTTCCCTTCTTTCCTCTGAATATATATGTTTGCAATACAGTAGCAGCCAAAAGAACTTTTTAAAATTTGCTTTCAAAAGTATTTTCGGTACTATTCGGTTTCGAGAGCCATAAAAAATCGCCAAACTATTGTTGATGCCAGTGCTGCCAAAAGCAATTGTGGCAACCCTAACGCAAGAAAGGAAGTATAATAGTAAATAACTATCTAAATATTGATGTTTTAATTTAGATAATAGGTTAATTTCATATAATATTTCGCTACCGAGTTATTGCTAAAGCATAATGTCATCTCGTTGGTTGTTCAAACATAATTTTCTATAATGAATGATGCCTTTTCTTTGAAAACATTTTCGGTAAAGTGCAGAATCGCCCGCTTATTTCTTTGCCACTTTTTACAAGGGTAAAAACAATTGGAATTTTGTCAATTTTGGGATGTTACTTTTTAAGTGATAAATAGGTCGATATGTACATGGATAACGTCAAGGGTGTGCGCAGTGCCATTTTTGTGCAATTCTGGGATTTTTTTAAAGTGAAAAACAGGTCGATGTGTACATGGATACCAAGTATTGTGCAATTCTTAAAAACGCGTCAAGCAGTGGGTGATTCTGCACTTTACCCATTTATACAAATTCTATCGCAATATTACAATATTACAAATTCTATCGCAGATTTTTCATCATAAGCAATTTCCAAATTGTTAAATCCATAGGATATCAAAAAAGGAATTAAAAATTAAACTAGTGTTTCAGTGGCATCTTAAGAAATATAGAACTATATAAACTTACGCAGTCTGAAATCAGCGTGTACGCGAGATTTGGCACTCTGTTAAATGTGAGTGTTTGCTAGATTTGGCGCTTTCGTGCATACATTTCGCTGCAATTTTTTTACGGCCCTCGAAACCGAATATTACCATATTTTCAGTTTCTGGAGTTCAAATTTTAAATCTAGTTTTTGTTTTTTTATTTGGCTCTGTATGTCTGTTTTTTTAGGTAACTGCTTGTTGTTGTTTATTTCTTGCTGGTAAAGTTGAAGAGACTCCAAAGAAATGTAAAGATATTATAAGAATAGCTAGGACATTCCTTGGCGATTCTCAGTTCTTACAGTTTGGAGATGATCCTAAGGTAAATGTTTTTAAGATGTGTGAATTATCCGAGAGAAGATTTTTAGTTGCTTTCTTTTTGTAAAACTTAAAGATTTGTTTCAATTCTTTCATTAAATGATGTTAGCAAGAAATTTAAAGTCATGCTCTGAAACATTAAGTTTTGACATATAAAGAGTACCTAAGTTCCAATATTTAATTATAATTTTGAATCTAGTTTTAGTTTTTGATTGCATTTGTAATAGCTGAAATTCTTTCATTTGCATCTAAACTGAGAATTGCAAAATTGGCATTAGTTTAATGTGTTGTTTCAGTCGGAAATAAAATGTTAATCAGTCAAGTTAGTTTCACCAACTTTATCAGTCAAGTTAGTTTCACCAACAGTCTTTTGGGATGGGTTTAGCATATTATGAAAAGAAATTATTTTTAATAATCATACAAATTTAATCACTCATTATTCTTCATTATGATGTATTTTTTAATTTGTTATTTAATTCTTCACAATGAAATAAACAGTACTTTTGCTTCTTGTGAGAATGTATGGGAAGTATACAAATATTGCCGTGATTAATTGCTTTGTGTGTATTTTGTTTTTGAATTAGGTGATAGCCCATTTTTATTTCACTGCAAGTTACCAGCTTGGTTCTGTTATTAAAGCAATGAATGTTACAAACATGGATGATGACTGGAAGTGGTATTTTGATGCCTTGAGTTGAGGCTGTAATTTTTTTCAGACAGACAGAGGCTGTAAGTGAAGACAATCAACAGAAGATGTTTTTAAGGTGTGATTGCTGTATTTGCAACGTGTATGCTTTTAGGACCTTATTATATTTGCAGATTTTAGATTGTTGAAGCTATCTGTGTTTTGACTTAATGAAAACCGTAGCTTATTTATTGGCATGGTGTGTAATGCTTCCATAAAAAAAAAAAAAAAAAAAAAAAAAAAAAAAAAAAAGAGGGATCTAGGCTAAAATTTTGTCCAGTGTTGTTCTTCCATTGGCAGTGAAACATTTCAGATACTGTTAGCAAAGCTCTTTGTCTGATAACTTTTAAAACTGTTCCTAGCTGACTGAAGAAGTAGTCCCTTATTTTAATGTTAACATAAGTAGTTCTCCGGAAGTAGTGTTGTAAATGAGTTAATATTCCTGTTTGAGTGCCAACTGAATAGGAGATAGAAATATAACTTCCACATCCCATTTTTTAAGGTGTTAACATTCAAAATCATCTTGTCAGGGTGAGATTAAATATCCTTATGGATTATCTGCACTCTTTTATGTCATGTTAGCTAGTTCAACTCAGATGAAAGCAGATTGGTTTAGTTTAACTCATCAGGAGGTACATGATGGTCAGACAGTCGGAAAAATGTTCATTTGAGTTTGGCATTTTGAGTGACACTCTTATTTTCAAATTTAAACTTAATAAAACATATATGATGTAGAAACGTTATAGAATGCATATGTGTTAGCACCTTGTTCCTATTGCATTTTTTGTGTATATAATTGAGTGCTGCTTAACCATGGAATAACTGTAAACAATGTCTCATGTTTTCTAAATTTGTAGAAAGTTATAAAAGATTTCATGAATCACGTTACCATTATTTGAACCATAAGATTGCCAAGTTTATTTCATTTTTATTTCTGTTGAATTTACTAGCACAATTTTCTGCTACTTTTTATTGTTTATTTTTTAAGTTGGACGGATGCATTTTTTCCATTATATTCCAAAAGTTCTCTACATAATTGATTCTTTTCGTTAGTTCAAAACTTTCAAAATCAGGCTTACATTACTTAGAAAATGTCATTTGTAATCTGTTAATTATACTTGTTTTTCATATCATAATAAACCCTTTTGTCTGTTATTAAAATTATGTTTCAGTGTATCAAAAAAGTGTGAAGGGAATTTAAAATTAATTATTTAATATGGATTGCGAGCGTATTAAGTATGGTAAATACAATACTTGCAAAGCAAATGCTGTATCCTGCACAACTGAATGGCATATTTGTTTTCTACTTTTAAGTGCTTCAGGAGAAGTTTGAAACAAAAATTGGATTTGCTTATTAACATAGAGTGTATGATCATATTTTTTTATAGTCTTTATCTTTCAGTTTTTATTTTAAACAAAAAACTACTTTCATTTCTGAAAAAATGCAACATGTGAAATAAATAATTTTTTTTTTTCATTTGCCAAATTCAAATTATTTTTTCATTTCTGAATCATTCAGTATTTTAATTTAAAAACTACTGATCACATTTTTAATACATTCTGAAAAGACTGGTATATATTTATTTATCTTTATATTTAAAAATTTCTTTGTAAAATTTTGCAATTACTTTTTAACAATATATGGAATTTTAAAAATCATGTGTAGATATACTTTTTTGACTTGAGAAATAGATGGATAAACAACGAGGAAATGAATGTTATAGTCAAAATTAAGAAGCTGCAATCTTGAACAAAATTTTCAAATGTAATTACATATAAAATATAAAAAATTGAGTTAAGCAGTATATTAGCTATGTGTTAGGCAGTATATTAGCCATGTTAAGAGTTTCTCTGATACTGTGTTATTATTTATCTTTTTTTCTTCCTTTTGATGCATGACAAAATCTTTAAATTTTTATTCTTTGGAAATAATTTTAATTTCGTTAATTTAACTTTTATATTTGTTTTTCTAGCTTAGTTCCTGTATTTTTTTTTTTGGTATACTTACATATTTCTTTCTTGTCTTATATTTCTAGGAAGAAGTGATGACCCTGGAAAGGATACTTCTTCAAACCATCAAATTTGATCTACAAGTTGACCACCCTTATGGCCATCTTTTAAAATATGCTAAATGCTTAAAAGGTATTTCATTTACCTTCCTGTATATTGAGATTTTCTATATACAGTCATCCGTCAGTTATCGCGGTTAATAAATAGGGACCAGAACCGGCCGTGATAAGTGCAAAACCACGAAGTAGTGTCACCCTCTCATTTTTAACATACGTACATTTTTTGTGTATGTATAATATGAATAAGTGTATATGACACCATATAAGTGCATATGTTATCATTAGAACATTAAAGAATAGTTTCAAACATGTAAATAAAATATGAATAGTATAAATAACATATATAAAATAATGTATTAATAATATAAATATGATACATGTGTAACATATGTATATGTAACTAAAGTATATATACTGGAAATATGTTTTTAGAGCTTTTTTATTCTTATAATAACTTTTCTTTTATAACAAGGTACGTAACTCACCTCTCTTCGCTTGATCTTTATAAATGTTGATGAAACACCTGTGCAGTATGATGGAGGCGAAGAAGATGAAGATGATTTACTGCACAGGTTAATGAGAGTTTTACTGCTCCTCAGATGGCGCCTCATTGTCAGGTGCTAGGGGCACTGGATCGTCACGGGCAGCTCCGGATAGAGCTGGGGTAGCTGCATGAGGCAGTGTTGAGGCAGCAGGAGGAGCTTCTGCAGAATGTTTTCGCTGCACAAAGGAACATCCTGATGAGGAGTTGTGACTCTAGTGTTTTCTTCTGAGCAAAGATGCCCTTGTACAATGCCATTACACTGTCAATACGGTTACTGAATTCTACATATCTGACCATATTATCGTTGATCTCTTCGGGCCTTTGTTGCAGAGCTCTTGCAGGTTTTCCAAGGTAAGGCCACATTCTTCAGCTTCATTGTCATCACCGTCATCAGCTACCTCCTTTTCTTCCTCACTCGACAATCTTGTCATTTCGACGAGTTCCTTGTTGGATTTGAGTGGCACTCGATCAGTGTGTTCACTTCTTCTGTCGTCATGTCAGAGAGCCCTTCAGTGGCTACCAACCGAGCCTGCCTCACAGCCTTATCTACGGCGGAGTGGTGAACTTCGTCAGACGTAAATTCCTTGTACCCATGGGTGACGTTTTTTGGCCACAATTTCCTCCAACTTGCAATCAGTGTCTGCTCTTTCATCCCATTAAAAGCATTCTGAATGCTGACCAGGCATGTTGCAATGTTGTATCCCAATAGTTCTTCAGGCTGAAGGCCACGTTGTCTTTATCGATGGAGAAGATGAGGCTCTCCATTGTGGACCTCGTGTAGAGGGCCTTGAAGGCCCGAATGACCCTCTGATCCATGAGTTGTATAAGGGAAGTGGTCTTGAGGGGCAGGAATTCCACTTAGACCTCATCATAATGGAGACTGATTGCATGCCCTCCTGCACTGTCTATGAAGAGGATGACCTTAAAGGGCAGCCCCTTTTCAGTGAGGTACAGCTTTACCTGCGGGCTAAAGCAGTTTACGAACCAGTCGAATGTGAGGGCTTTTGTTATCCATGCCTTTTTGTTGGGCATCCAGCAGACATGCAGCAAGGCCTTGCTTTTGTTTTTCAAAGCTCGAGGATTCAGGGACTTTTAAATTAAGCAGGGCTTGAGCATGAAGCCTGCAGCATTCCCACACATGAGGAGAGTCACTCGATCGTTGTGGGCCCATGAACCCTGGCCTCTTCAATTTGTCTTTATAAAGGAACGTCCGGGACAGCATCCCTCTTCCAGAAGAGTCCAGTCTCATCCATGTTAAAGACCTGCTCTGGAAGATAACCACTCTCATCAATTATTTTCGGAAACTCTTCCTTGACATAACGAAGAGCTACCTCTTGGTCTGTTAAGGAGGCCTTCCCATACAAAGGATTTTGCTGCGAAGGCTAAATCTCCTCTTGAATTTCTTGAACCAGCCCTTGCTGGCAACATAACCACATTTTTCTCGTAAGGTAGGATTCCTCGAGGTATTGGTACTAGCCTGAAGTTCATTTTCGTTGTCTTCGTTCAACTCTCCTTCAGGAACGAGGCTATTATACAGGGCGTTGGCTTTAATTGAAGTTATATTGGTATCGAGACTAACCTTCTTTTCCCGACAGTCCGATATCCACACTGATAAGGTATTCTCCATTTTCACAATTCGCTTATTTCGAGAAGTGACAACTCGCTTAGTGTCCTTGGAGAATGTTATCGAGGCAGTTTTATGGATATTCACTTCATCTTTTTACTTCCTTGTACGAAGTAAAAAAGGAAGTATTGTAATCGCGAAAAGTTTCAGGCAGCATATTTCAACGAAAATATCCATTTTGACCGCTATCGAATGCAATTTAACGATGTTTTTGCGTGATATCTGTACGTAAGGACAGAATAAAATACTCTTTTCCTTCAAAAAAATTATAAAACTGCTTTAAAATAAATTCTGAAGAGAATTTTTTCGTGGCGTCTGTCAAACGTATGTACGTATCTCGCATAACTCAAAAGCGAGTAGCCTCGGAACGTTGAAATTTTGTATACAGGACTGCTATAACATGTAGATGTGCACCTCGTATTTTGGTTGCAATCGACCGCACCAAACGTTTATAAATATATTTATATATATATCCACTCTGTTACCAGGCTCAGTGATCTCAGTTTCTTTACTCTTATATGTTTGTAAATTGTACATTTTTTGCTTTAAAAATGGTTGAATTATGTTGTTTTTATCTTCCGGTTAAGGTTTTTATGCCTTTAGTAAATCTGTGTGCAATATTTTTAGAATTATTAACAATTTTAAAGTTGTTTAAGTGCCGCTAAGCCTTTTTTGTGACGGCGGCCATTGATTGCTTACATTTCAAACAGCAGACTAGTGGATTTGTTGCCAATCTAGAGAAACTTAGCTTTGCAACACCAAAGATAACACCTTCATTTATTATTGCCAATTAAATCATGCTTAATCCTTTCTGGAATTTTTTCGAGGAAATAAGTGTTTAAGATTTACTTCGTAATTTTTAATATATATATTTTGAGTTTTTATGTATTTTTGCCTTCTCGCGAAGTGAGAACTGAATTAATTGAATGAGAAATACTCAATCGTCTGTGAAAAACTGTTTCTTTTTTGTTTTGTTTGCTTAATTTCTTTTATACAGCATTCTAGCTTTATTATAGTATTTGAATAGAACATGTAGCAATGATTAGATAATTTTTTAAATGATATAAATTTTGTGCGTTCTGAGTTATAATATGAACAAAACATAATACTGCTAATTGAATCTAGCTCCAGAGTGCAACGATTAGATAATTTTTTAAATGATATAAATTTTGTGCGTTCTGAGTTATAATATGAACAAAATATAATACTGCTAATTGAATCTAGCTCCAGAGTGCAACGATTAGATAATTTTTTAAATGATATTAATTTTGTGCGTTCTGAGTTATAATATGAACAAAATATAATACTGCTAATTGAATCTAGCTCCGGAGTGTCGCTATGGTAAACAAATACTAGAGTGAATTTTAAAGAATGCCTTTATTCTATTGTGTTTTATGCGTTGTCGGCGAAGTAGATTTAATTGAATCCAATAAGTTTAAATGAAATGCAAGAAAAAATGAGTATAATTTAATATTCCGTAGAAGGAAGTCATGTGGTATACACATCAGATTTTTTTTATATAGCAAACCGTCGATTCGTTCAATCTGTAATTGCATGCAACAGATGCATAGCTATGGCCTGCCTTAAGCATGTCCAGTAAATTAACTTTCTCATTCACTGTCATAATTTTTCTCTTCTTCTTGGATTCACGAGAGGATTGAGGACGTTTAGGAGCCATTTTCAAGGACATCACAAGCACTGTTTTTCACATAAAGACACAAGAGAACAGCAAGAATTAGCACACCTCAAGACTAAGCATCACTCAAACATTAATTTGAATGAGCACTTGTCTTCGCTGGGTATGAGAGCGAAGGTAAGTGAAACATCTAAGCCAATCAGCTTGCGAGATTCCTGAGTCTGGAGGGATATCAAATGGCAGGATGCTAGCCATCCAATCAGAGCCGTGGATTTTGAATTATGTGGGCACTCCCTGCCTTCTGCTGGCGTGCGGGCAACCTTCGCACCATAATTCCTCAATTTTGAATTTTTGATGAATTTTTTTGAACAATCCGTGATGTACTGAGGCTGTGATAAATGAACCTTGAAGTAGTGAGGGATGACTGTATTTTGTGGATAACAGGATTGTCTCATACTGCCTACATTGCTCATTGTCTTTTTACATACGGTTTAAATTTTGCATTTTTTGGTGGGGATTTCACAGTTTCACCAGAATTTCTTGGAAAGAGACCTAGTCTCCTTATGGGCGTAAAATTCCACATTAAAGAATGGCTTTCCCATTCATTATGCATGAAAATATCTGCCAGATCTTGATCAGTCCGTTTTCAGGTCGGATGTATATTGGAAGAAATGGTTGTCAAGGTACAAAGTGAGATGGTCATTTTGGAATTATAATCAAGAAACTACCACTTCATGCCATTTTGGAGAACTTTGAAATTTAAGGGACAAACTTATTATGCTAAGAGGGTTAACTAACATTGTTGTTTAAAAAATGCAGTTTTAAATTTATATGTCTGAATTAATACCATGATTTTTCAATATAAGGAATGCATTAATTTTTTTGAATTTCTCTTTATAATCTATCATTTAAGTAAATAAACAATAATAATAAAAATCATTTTTATTAATTCAAATGGCCAAAATGATCAGAGTAGTAGTTTGGCTTTATTTTAGACATGCAAAACTTGCTCATATTTTCCCCATTGGCAATTGTTAGCTGCATTAAATATTTCATTCAGGGCATTTTAAACTTTTACTGTTGACTATTGAAGAAAGATGTGGTCTCATGTTGACTATGATATGCTGGCATATATACATTTAGACAGAAATAGATTAAGGTGTTCTGATCATTTGTGAAATATGTGGAAAAATAGGAACTCGAATGAATTAGTATATATTTTAGTGTAAAAAATTTTGTTATCAGTTGCATTGTTTATTTGTTATGCATTTAAAAATGCTTCATTGAATTTTGAATAACTTCCTATTTTATAGTGGAGAATAAGATTTTGATTTATTTGATTATTGCAAAGCGTGCAAGGGCTATCTGCCTAAGGGGAGGAATGTCGTTACAGGAGATTTTCCAATGGAGCATAGCTTACATTCACGTTACACACACCGAAAAACCATAAAATGCTTGTGAAACCAGCTGTTTGCCTGGAATTGATCTAAAGTCGAACTACATCTGTTCAGCGACTTTACCGCTTGAATGAGATGTTTAATTTTTCTATTTGTAATTCATATTACACTTCTTTAACTCGTAGTATACAATAAATAATTTTAAAAGGAAGATTTAGAGGAGTTTTTTCTTTGGGACAAATAGATAAAAGTCTTTTCTGATTAGATGTCTGTTCAACTATACCTGCTCTAATTAAAAGTTCTTATAATTAATTGTACTGAGTGAAGAATTCCTAGTTAAGTAAGTATCATGTAACCTTTCTTTTTGTAGTCATTATATCTAGAATTTGGAAGTGAATTTCAACCTGGTGTGTAGTATCAGGCTTCTAAAACTGATTATCTATAACTTATAATGTAAAAGTTAAGTTGATATTAATAAGTGGAATGCGATAAAGTTATTTTCACACTTTAAAGTTTTTTTAAAGTATATTGAGTTTTGGAATCTTTGTTTTTTTTTATTCTATTTTAATTATTTTTAAATTATTGATTAACCAACCTGTAGCCTTTATATCATCATTTTTGTTTTTGTGAAAGAAGAAAATGTGCAAATGACATCTATATATAATGTTAAAATTATAATAAAAAGATCAATGAAATTGTTACTGTCTTTTTGCTAAAAAAATTAGGCTAATCTTTGGAATATGGTAACTGGTAGTTTGGCGACATTTTGGTAAGGCGATAAAGGTTACTACCTAGGACTTTAGCAGTATACATGGATAAAGTCAAGAGTGTGCGCAATGCCATTTTTGTGCAATTCTGGGATGTTTTTTTAAGTGAAAATAGGTCAACATGTACATGGATACTGTTTATGTGCAATTCTTAAAAACGCGGCAAGCAGTTTGCGATTCTGTTCTTTCTCCCAATTTCGCACCTCATCTTCATCACGATTAATCACTTTTGTTCCATAAAAGTTCTAGCATAAACGTAATTCGGCTAGCAGATTGTTGGAAAAAAAATGTTTAGCTAAAAAAAAAAAAAAAAAAAAAAAAAAAAAAAAAAAAAAAAAAACATGCCTTTACTCCGCGAAAACAAAATGGCGTCCAAACAAAAACTAGCAGGTTGCTGTAGCAGGGTTGGTCGCCAAATTTTCGCCAAAAAATCACCAAGTTACCATAATTCAAAGATTAACAAAAATTTAGTAAGCTTCCTTGATTATATTTCTATTATTGTTTATTTTAGATGCTTTAAAGTGCCCATTACTTGTGTGTATGAAAATTATAAGTTTCATGTTTTTATGAAATAATTCAGTTTAAAATGACTGAATTTAATTTTTAAATAATGATTTTTATTTTAAGTACAAATCATTTAAAAATTTTTTTCATTTAAACTCTTAAATATTCTTTATGCATGCGTTTGTATATTTAAAACATGTAATAGTTTTAATTAATATCCAGACCTTATGTAAAAATTTTAACTGTTTCAAAGCTAGAAAATTTAGAAATTCAGAAACAAATCAGAGTTAAGATGTAGTTAATTATTACCAGTTCTAAATGCATAGTTTGTTTCCTTTCTGGAGAATGTAATATGGAGGATAATAATTTTATATTATCATCTGTCTTGTCTTCTATTTTTGTACTTCATGTGATTTGTTAACTGTTTTAAAGACTGCTTTTGAGTAGTATTTTTTATTTTAATTCTTTAATTGCATCTCTCTGTGAAGTAAATAAAAAATATTCAGTTTTGTAATTTTTTGTATATCTAGTTTGTAAAACATTATATCTTTTAAGGTATTTATTGAACTCAGGTCTGACCACGTTTTAAGTAAACTACAATTTCAAGTAGGGAAATTGGATTAATTCAGCTGAAAGGTTCTTAAATTTAAAATATTAAAACTCATTAAGAAAAGTTATTTAAAATATTAGGGAAGGAATGTTTTTTTCTAATATCTGGATCAATCAGACCTTGTCCATATCATCAAATTAAATGAAAGGCATTATTTGCCTTTTGATTTTTGGTAATCTTTCATTCTTTTCCTTCTTATTCTGCTAGTTCATAGTCTTTTGTAATGGTGGAGCATAATTTTGTTGCAGTGTATACTAAATCCATGATGTGTATATAAATCTTTTCAAGCAACATTATTATGTCATATAATATTTTTGTATATTTTTTGAAGGTGACAAAGGGAAGTTGCAACATATGGTTCAGATGGCTTGGACATTTATTAACGATAGGTATTTGGAGAATTATTATTATTGTCAACTTTTCTTTATCAAGTTTAATGCTTATGTATTACATAATGTATTTTTTTTCCTCCAGTTTATGCACTACTCTGTGTCTCCAGTGGGAGCCAGAAGTAATTGCTATCGCTTTAATGTATCTTGCTGGAAAATTAAGCAAGTTTGAGGTTGTTGATTGGGTTGGACGATCATCCAGGCATTCACATTGGTGGGATATGTTTGTTGAAGGAATATCCATAGAGCTGCTTGAAGGTAAGTAATTTCTTGATTTTTATTTTTAAGACTGGATAAAATGAAATTCTTTTTAATTCTTGGATCGGAATTAATCTTTTCTGAGCTATAAATAAAATTCTGATTATCTTTGTAGTTGAACATTACTCGGCATTCATCAAATACACTGGCAATAATACCATCCTTGACTTTTGTTTTGAATTCTGTAAAAGTCTGATGTTTTAATTTTATTTACTTATTTTCTGGGAAGGGATAATATTCTTTTTTGGCTAAAAGAGAATCTAGATTGTCTCTTCTATTTTTAATTGTAACATACCGTTTCATACCAATTAGAGCAAACACATATCTGTATCGTGTCATTTTTTCATAATCTTTTTCCCACAGAAAGTTCTTGTGACAAGATTTGTTAGGCTCATCTTAAGTTTTCCGTCATTTTGCATCATGTGTGTACTAGATTTGCTGAGAAATGGAGTAAAGCAGTCCAATTTAACATAGTTAGATTAAACAAAATCTCATTCCTTTAGTAGTGCTATTTAATGAAATAAGTTTCTGAACAACAAACTTGGTTACATAAACTTTTTAAATAATAATTTTTCTTGTTGCCATTCAAATGTAAAACGTATAATATTCTATTGTTGTAGTAGTCTTCGTTATGTAAATTTAAAAAGAGATGCTTTTCAGTTGAAATATAGTATCATGTTTGCTTTGAAGCTTACAGAAGTTTGGTTGGTGTTTGTAAATGACATTGTAAAATTTTTACCCGATGTTATTACTCTTAGAAAGAAGTCCAGCAGCAATGTTGGGGTGATGGCATAACTCATGCAGCTATGGGAGAAATTTTCTTGAGAGGAAAAGTTAAAATAATCAACCAGTAGAAGAAAAAGAACATAAGTTTATTCTCATTACATTCAGAAAACTTTTAATGCAGTAAAGTACAAAGATATATCTTGAGTACACTTTGCTGAGATGAACTAGTATTATCAGCCTTGCACAACTGGTTATGAACAGTCAGTTTGACCTTAGTTTTAGAAGTCCTTAGCTTAGTTAGACCTTAGTTTTTTAGTCTATTAGAAGCACACTTAATACACTACAAATAAATTTTCTCAACATTGTAATAGAGCAGTTTGCTTTTTTCTTACACTGCAGACAAACTGTTACACAACACTACTGATAATAATGGACATGCAAATGAATTTATTGAAAGGAAAACACGAAAGATCAGTTTGACAACAACACTAGAATATGAATGCACACACAAAGGAATTTCTTTAATTCATTTCACAGGAAGTCAGTTTGATCTTATCTTTAGGCACTAAAACACAAAGCTCCTATAATAAGTTTTAGTACCACAATAATCTGTATTCTTCCATATTTAGTTCTTTTCTCAAACATAAGTAATGACACTTTTCAATGAAGGCAGAAAAAACATTTCTTGCCTTCCTTTCTTAGCATAAGCATTAAGCAAAGAGAATAAAATCTGTTGAATCAAATGGATTTAGAGCCTGTATATATTTCCCAAATTGTGGATCAGCAGGTGTTTGCTAATACAAAAATACCAATATTCTTAGAATAAAATGAAAAAGCTCTGTTATATTTAGTAATAATATAAAAATAAATTTGTGCTGTGTTACAGAGCTGTAAATTTTCTAAGTTAATTAAAAGAGTTTTTTTTTTTTTTTTTTTAAATGAGAAAGAGTGAAACATTTTAAAAATAAATATAAGGGAAAACGTTTTGGGAGAAAGGATTAGATGGGATGTTCTGTAGGCTTATATTTATTGCATCTGATTTTCCTGAAGAGGGGGAACCTATTTTAATGTGAAACTTATAGTTGCATTCATAATAGCTTTTGGTAACTTTGCTGTTTTTAAGTTAAAATCCAGTCATCATCATTTTGAGAAGGGTTGCTTTCAATTTTTACTGAAATAACATGAAAAATTTTGATTTTTTTTTAGTCATAGGTGCATTATCTCTTTTTATTTTCTTGGATTTCCCTCTGTGGTAGTGTCTTCCGAGACTCAGGGTAGAAATATTGCTACATATGGATAATGAGCTTATAACTTAAACAAAATACCATCACATAGCTGCCAGCCTTGAAATATAAAAAACTGGCAGGCTCTCGTGGAAAATCAGGAGTTTTTTTGTTTTTATGATATGTAACATAGCCATTTCAGAGCTGGATTAATTTAAGTTCATTTAATGATGCATGATTCAGGTTATTGAACTATTTATAATATGATTCTGATGTGAAACATATTAATATTTGATTAGATATTATAAATTTTGTGTTTTTTAGTGCAATTTTGTAATTTTCTTGCACATTTATATGGAGGAAAGTTTGAGTAGGAGAGAAGAGCTTTAAGTATGAGGAAAATAAAATTAATAAGTATGATACATATACTATATTTTATGTTTTTTAGTATAATTTTTATTTTGCAATTTTCTCACACTTTTATACTGAGAATATTCCAATAGGAAAGAAAAGCTTTTAAATATGATGAAAATAAAAGTAATAGATATAATACATACTGTTGTGTGGATAAGTTTATTAATGTACCATTTATCGATGTAAAACAAAATTAAATACAGATATTAAGTAAAGAATAAAATATAAGTAATATAAATTAAGTAAATATAAAAAGTAGGCCATATTGCAATAATTTTATAATACTTATTAGATATTTTTTCATGAATTGTGTTTACTAATTTATTTAGTGCTCTTAATAAAGTATTTAAGAGCATCCTAATAAAATAAAGCACTGTGTTCAAGATTACAACCAATTTCTGTCTTCTCCATTTCTTTTTAATGTATGTGTCTAGCAGTTTTCTAATATACAGACCACAATATGTAATGCATCATTGCATTAGAAGTAAATTCCAATCTGTGTTTCAACCCTAAATCAGAATAAGAACAGTAACCTTTTAAGCAGTTGTACCAAAGAATACTTCCTGAACTAAATGAATTAAGAAAGAAAAAAGTAATGAAAAAAAAGTGAAAAGATTTTGATTTTAAAATCACAGCAAAGGGTTTATTAAAGTTTTTTATGCTCTTGCTGGGCTCACAGTTTACAAATCTGTTCTTGCTCTCTTCCCACTTCCACATGCTTCCTTCCCACTTATACAACATAAAATATTTAAAAGTAGTATATCTTTGTAATTTCTGTTGAAATGTCAATTGTTGGCATTATTTCTTTTCAGTCTTTTCTCAGTTCATAATTGTATCAATGCTCAATTTTCTTAGTAAAATGATTTCCCATCCTCTCTCTCTTTTTTTTTAAACTTTGTTTATTATCTCTTTTTTGCACTTACATCACAAAATTTAACAGCAAAATCACAAAATATTTAAAAACACCATATGTAGGTTACATGATTGAGTGCTACTGCCATACATTTTTTATATTTGCTATATTATGCCTTTAAAAATAATACATGGAGCAACTTCTTTATGTTTGAAAAGTGATATGGACACTAAAGTGACACAGATGAGAAAGTGCGAATTAAGAGTAACCTTTTTGCGACGGCGCACCTTTGTTTAAGACGCTCGTGCGGGACGGAAGAGAATTGAAGGCAGTCACCGTACAGGACGGATGTTTTGCATCCCTAAGCCTAATTTTATAACAAAAATCAGAAAAAAAAAAGTTTCGCTTCTAGCATAGTAATTTTTGGTATCATTTTAGATTATTATTTGAGCTCTTTATATATGTTAAAATTAGCCCTTAAATCATTTTTTTCTTTATTTTGCATGAAAATATACTTAAAAAATTGCTTATCTTCTAAAATAATTTCAGAAGCGCTATTCAAATTATTCCTCCAAAGTTTTAATTGATAAAATCCATCAATAAAGTTTAAAATTAATAAAAAAGAACACAATAAAGACTATTTACAGTAAGAAGTAACAAAAATTTAAAATGAAAACGAGTGTGGTAAATCTCAAAGCACAGAGAGTATCACTTTGTAACTCTTAGAAAAAGTATCACTTTTTAACTCTTTAGAAAAATGAATCAGTATTCTCATTTGCGTTAGTAAATGGTTCACTAACCATACGAGGGTATTCTTTCTCTGATAAATAGCACCTTCCCGTCATAATAGACTGGAGGTGAGGCTTTCCTAAATAAAAAAAGAAGGAATGGAAATATATCTGAAGGCAATGCAAAACGTAAAAAAACTCCGCACAGTAACCCTAAAAGACCGTACATAGTAAAGGAAAAAATAGAATAGAAAAAGGAATTGGATATAAATCAGATACTAGAATGTTTTCATTAGCACACAGTAATTTAAAGAGCCCAACTCTGTTTACGCTTTCCCTCTGCCCCCCCTCGAACAGCTGATGAGTAAAATACCTAAGTCAAGCAGAATATATCAAACTCAAGGTCAGGAACCTAAAACTGTGTTCATTTCAAAAGTAATGGACACAGGATGCCGTCTAGTGGCCTTCAGAAAAATGTTCCACCTTAAAATGCGTATATGCATCACCCGTCCTCTGAATGCGATCTTTACTGATGCGTGGATGGGACGCCTGGATGTAAGAGATGTTCTTAGAGAATGCGTATATGGGACGCCCGTCCTGAAAGGGTTAGTAATACCTCTGGTACTGAAAAAAAAAAAAAAAAGGTCTGAAGGAGTTTAGATTTCAATGGTTGCCCAGAAGGGATTTTTTAAAAAGTTTAATAGAAATTATCAATAGAGATTGCTGAGATGGGATAGTGAAATGTTTTGTAGGATGCTAGATTAATGCACATTTAGGCTAGCATGGGAATGTTGTATATCTTCTGTACATTTGAAAATTGGAAAAATACTTAACATAATTCTATAAAAAATGTATAATGTTTTTAATTATTTGTATCCGGAATTAAATGCCTTTTCCTTTAAATCAATTAGGTTAAAACTCAAAGTACAGTATTCTTAAGAACCCATCTATTACTTTTGAATAACTAAGTTTGCTAATCAATAACAGACAGTCTAAATTTGAATGATAGCTGTCTTACATTTTTCCGAATAGCTAGAGACTCAAATGAAAATTGAAACATTAATTTACAGAATCGATGTAAATTCACTTTTTGAGATGATAGGTTTTTTGGACTAAAAATCTGAAAGGATTCAGATCTTAATGCAACACCAGTACCAATCTGTTCTTGGATCCAGTCTGCTCCAATCTTGCCCTGCTAACACAACTTATTTTTTCCTTCTTTATTATTAAATGTTGCTTTCTTCAAACGTACACCACATAAAAGTTAAAAGTAAAATCGCAATAATTTTGAAAACAACATATTTTTAGAATTTCCAATAGAATGGTAGTCTTGTCATACATTGTTCTACTTTTTTCAGTTTTTTTTCCATTTTATCGCATCCGTGTTCAATTTTCTTAACAAGATGACATGCAGAACTTTTTAAAATTTATTGTTAAATACCACTTTCTTTGCATTTATACTGTGTAAAATTCAACAGCATAATCACAAAATGTTTAAAACCAGTAAATCCTTAGAATTCCTATCGCAGTCAAGTGTTGCCATTGATTTTTTAAATCTTTTTTCAGTTCATTATATAAGTATTCAGTTTTCATAGTAGGATGGATGACTTACTTTTTTTAAATCTTTTTATTATTAGCTTATTAAATTCGTTTATTAAACATTACTTTCTTCACACTTATGCCATATAAAATTCAATAGCAAAATCGCAAAATATTTAAAAACAGCATATCTTTAGAATTCTGGATGGAGTGTTAAGAGTTGCCATGTATTTTTTTACATATGCTTTTTAAGTTCTTTAAAAATAATATATGGCAGAAACATTTCATGGCAACATGCTTTTATTTGAAAAGGATACTGACGGAAATGTGAGGGTTGAGATTAATAGCATCTCTAATGCTCGCTAGAGAAACTTTTATTTCTTATTTCTTATTATTTATACTAAGTTTACAAACAAGTAGTTACACTTTGTTGTTTTTGTTTTGATCCTAAAATTATGTTGTTGTTCTGCTAGTAAGGAAGAAAAAGGGCATTGTTAGGAAAATGTGTGCTGCTATCTCACTGTATAAGTTTATCTGAAGCAAGTAGTGTTGTTTTTTTGCTTGCACTAATTATCTGTGAAAGTTTCTATGCATAAATCTTACATTATCAATTGGGAGAAAGGAATTGATAGTTTTGAAATAAAAAGTAGTGTAATAATGAAGCATCATAAATCATTCTTTTCCCAATATTTGTAAAAGCAAAAACAAAGAAAGATGAGCCAACCACTGACCATGGCAGGACAGTTACTATCCATTAATTTATATCCATTCAGGAAGCATGTAAGTTAAGAAGAGGATCATCTACCCTGCTCACCAATTATTCACTTATGCAGTTTTTTGGGATAATATATTTTTTCATGGTTTTAGATACATGCACTTAATTTACATATGCTCTTAGAATTTAAATATTATAAATTAGTTCGCCACAGTAATAAATTTTATTTTTGTAATTAAAATTTCTTAATTAAATTTTAATTTTATATTAGCTTTATACGAATAGAGAATATTTGTTAAATCCAAATTCCATATTTCATATATATTTTACATTTCCACATTTTGATTTTTACACTCAGGCTTCAATTTTTTAAAATTTAATAACTGATTTGGTTATATGGATTTCAAGAATTTGCTCAGTTTAATTTGTAATTTACTTCCTTGTTATATAGAAATTTTATTTTTAGTAATCACATCTATTAGTTTTTGCAAGACTAATCTTTTTTGCTGAACTACAACATTGACTTGCTTTTAGTTTTACAGTTTTAATTTATCTGTTAATTTTCTGTGTGTATTGCATATGTAATTTCATTTGCAGTTGGTAGTCACCCGACCAGTTTAGAGCTTTTAACTTTATTTATTTGTTCAGTTTGCTGCATGCGAATGTTTTTATCATCATATCTTTGTTATCATACATATATAGCTTACTAAAACATATTGGCCCTAGATGTAAACAGCTATTCCCTTTATTCTGCATTTGATTTCTTTTCTGATTTCCAACTGCATGTTTGGTGGTTCTTAGAATGTGGTTATTGTTTATGTAAATAATACCCTCATTCTATGTCAGCAAACATATCTTTTGGATTTTTATTTTTTGTTATTATTTCATATTTATATATATTTATATTAACACACAAGTCTAATTTATCTGATTCTCCCTCCTCTCTAGATATATGTCATCAGGTTTTGGATTTGTATTCAACACCAGTCCCTCAGACTCCTCAGGATTCACCTCCAGCTACTCCACCTACAAAATTAACAAGAAAATCATCCCAGCCTGTGAGTAATTCAAAAGTCATAATTTTAATTATCTTAATGAACATCCTCAAATTAATGAATGTTGTGAGATTTTTCAGTTAACATCGTAAGGTCTTGACTGTTGTTTTCAGATCCTCATCCATGTGGCTGTATGTGTTATATACACAAAATAGGTTTAAAGTAATTTTTCACTTTTTAATTTGGTTTTTTTTTAAAGAAATTCAGCTAGAAAGCAGAATTTTCTAATCTAGTGCTTGGAAATATAGTGATACACGTTAATTAGATTTCCATGGTATTTGATTTTACTTCTGCTAATTTTTGATTTTACTAAATATGCTAGTGTAATGGATGTAGAATAAATTTTTAATTTGTAGGAAACTGTAATGGGTAAAATAAAGTATTAATTAATTTAATTGCTAGGCCATTATATATTTTTGATACAATTAATAAAAAAATATAACATTGTGAAAAGTATAATTTATAAAAAATTTAAGAATTGCTAATCATATTCTTTTACTTTTTCCTGTAGCATATAAAATATAGTAATGTGAGAATTATGTTTTTCCAATTAACTTATTTCAGTGCTCAAAAGGTAAATAAATATTTGTCTGTCTCATTGTGGTGGGATGGGGCATGAATGGAAGAGTGTGGTTCCTTCTCAGCATTCAAGAAGAGTTAGAATAATTAGGAGTTTGTAAATTTAATGTTTTTGGAAACTTTATTTAATAATTAAAGTTTGTTTTCAGTTATCAAAGTTTGAAAATTTCTTCCTTGGCTTTGTTTGAAAAGCTTAAAAAAAAAAAAAAAAAACCTGCTATTATGATTAAAAGAAAATCTGTGACTTCATGGATCTAAATGCTATGAAAATATGAGAAAAGTTATGTTTACCAGATTTTCTGTTCATCATTAAATTAATTGTTAAGATTTTTGAATTTCAGTGAAGGGGGGAATGTCTTTGTACAATGGGAATATGGTATAAGGTATTTTCTCCCTACTTCCGGCATGCCATCGAGGTCTAATGGTTAGCACACTCGGTGCGTATTCGAGAGGTCCAGGTTTGAGACCCGGCGAGGGCATTACTTATTTTTCACATCTCCTGCTTCAAAATTACTTAATTTTGTTACAGTTACACCCAAATTAAAAGGTGGTGGGTGATGATTTTTCACCTCCAGGATTTTGCAATTGTGTTCCCTAATCCCCAGTCGCCCTTTAAAAGGGGGAGTATTTAAGGTATTTTCTCCCTTCTTCCAGCATGTCTTCGTGGTGTAATGGTTAGCAGACTCGGCGCACTTTGAGAGGTCCAGGTTCGAGTCCTGGTGAGGGCATTGCAGAATTTTGGTTTTCCTGCTTCCAAATAACCTAATGTCTCTACAAACCATTTTATATTTTTAAGTGCTACCAGTAATATCAGTTGTTATCTGAAAAACACAAAGTTGTCTGATTCAAAAGAAAAAAAATGCCAGAGTGCAATAAGCAGCCTTTATCAGAAAACAATGACTTTGATGACTTTGATGGGAAAATCATGGACTAATTCAACAAACTGGCTTTTGGGTATTAATTAATTGTCTAAACTTGGATCCTAAAAGTGGCTTTTAGTCTCGAAATGGGATTTTTTGTTAGTTCACTATAAACGATGTATCACTTTTTCAAATTGTTCCCACCAAATATTATTACTGTGTATTATTTTTAAAGAAATTAAGTAATGGAGAATCTGCATGTATGTTCCTCATACAAAATGATGGTACCTAGAACCATCAAATTTTGAATAACATAGTTCTCCACCCGAACATGTGCACTTGGAAGCCTGAATTTTGAATTTATTTTCTTATTTATTTCGTATTTTTTAAAACTTTTTTTGATTAAGAAACTGAACATTTTTAAAGTGAGCAGGGGCAACACTGTTTTAAGTAAAACATTTTTATCTCGAGAATGTTGATAGTCGGAGAAATGCAAGATATTTATCTTTCAGTTTTAATTAACAAACTCGGCTGTATGGAAGCAATGTGTTGACGCTGTCTGAAATAAAATACTTTATCTTCCATTTAGTAAAGGTAGGATACTTTCAGATTTTTTATGGTAACTATTTTAGGTCGTTGTGCACGCAAGCTGCTAAAAAAGAAGAGAAATAATGTAATGACTATATATGAATATATGCATGACATATGTATGACAGCCTTCAGCACTCTGTTGAGAATTTTAAAGATATGCCATTTTTAAATATTTTGTGATTTTGCTGTTGAATAGAATTTTATGTGGCATAGGAGTGAAGAATCTGATATTTAATAAATAAAGCTAACACATGAAATGTTAATACTAATAAAAAAATGTAAAAAAGGGGGGAGGGTGCAAACCACCTTACTAAGAAAATTGCAACTGATATGATGAACTGAGAAAAGGCTGACAAATGTATAAAAATATATGTCAACACATAACAGTGCATCTGGAATTCTAAACATATGCTGCTATGCAGTTAAAAAAAAAAAAAAAACTGTGATTTTTTTTGTTGAACTGTATGTTGCATAAATGTAAAGAAGCAATGAAAATTATACTTACAGACTGGTAGACTGTGACCTAAATGAGAGCATAAAAATCTTAACAAACTGTTTCAGGTGACCATTAAAATCTGCTTTCACATTATATTTTTTATTAGCTTTTGATTGAATAATTATTACTTTTATTTGTCATTTAATATAAGTTGTGGTATGTTAAAGTAAAAAATGCTTGTTTTTATGGGGCTTTGCAAATCCTTTGTGCTGAATCATTCGTTTAAAAATTAATATAGGATGAAATTAGTCTGTAAGTTTGTCTATTTCATATTAAAAATCAAAAAAGTAATTGTTAGAATAGTTTAATGTGATCTGAATGAGTTATATACACTCTTAGACAAAAAACACAACACAACAAGAAAGAATTATCCGAATGGGACGAAAATTGGTAGAAGTGATGTACATGTACAGAAAAACAAATGATTACAGTTTGAGAAAAATTGGATGATTTATTGAAGTGATAGAGCTTCACAAAGTGAAAAAGTCAGTAACGCGTTTGTCCATCTCTGGCCCTTATGCAAGCAGTTATTCGGCTTGGCATTGATTGAAAGAGGCTGCAGATGTTCTCCTGAGGGATATCGTGCCAAATTCATTCCAACTGGTGTGTTAGATCGTCAACATCCTGAGCTGGTTGGAGGGCCCTGCCCATAATGCTCTAAACGTGCTCAATAGGACAGAGATCCGGCAACCTTGCTGGCCAAGGTAATGTTCGGCAAGCACTAAGACAAGCAGTAGAAACGTGCAGTGTGGAGGCGGGCATTATCTTGCTGAAAGGTAAGCCCATGGTTGTGTGACATGAAGGGCAGCACAACGGGCTTTAGAACTTTGCTGACATACCACTGTGCTGTAAGTTTGCGACGGATGTCAACCAAAGGAGTCCTTCTATGAAATGAAATGGCACCCGAAACCATCACTCCTGATTGTTGGCCTGTCTGCCAGAAGACAGTCAGGTTGGTATCACACCGCTGTCCGGGGCATCTCCAGACTTGCCTTCGCTGGTCATCGGGGCTCATTTCAAAGCGGGACTCATCACTGAAGACTATTCTACTCCGGTCAGTGACATTCCAGTACGAATGAGCCCGACACCACTGTAAACTGGCTTGACGTTGAACAGAGGTCAATGGTAGTCGGCGCAAGGGGCATCGTGACCTCAGCCCTGTTTCTGTGAGCCGTCTTATGAATGGTTCTTGCGGTCACTGAAGCACTAGTTGCATGTACAATCGATGATAATGATGCATCTTGGACTCTGAGTGCCGCTCTGACGATTGCTCGGTCTTCACGTTCTGTCGTTTCTGTAGGCCTACCACTTCCTTCTTGACGCTGTGTGAGGCCATGGTTCACCCATTCCTGCCAACATCGTCTAATAGTGGCATCGTTCCTGCTAAAATGTCGAGCTATTCGCCAATAAGACCAACTGGCTTCTTTGAGGCCAACTACATGACCTCTCTTAAATTCTGACATCTGCGCATATCGTTCACGCACTTGTATGCAAAGCATAGTTACTGTCTACCAGAGTACATGAAAGGAAATTCGTGAAGAATTTATGACCTAGATTCGTAATTTCTCCTCTTAAATATCCTGCCAGTTACGCAGATCAGATGCGCTGTAGCGACAACCGTTCATTCATTGGCCAAAATGTAAAATTTTGCATTTTCCGTCGAAACCTGTATGCATATCAATTTGTGTCCAATTTGCTTTATATCTTCTTGGTGCGTCGTGGGGCGTAGTTTTTTTTTTTTTTTTTTTTTTGTCTAAGAGTGTATATTTTCTGTGTACTTCCTAGGAAATATCCCCCAAAATAAATATTTTTTAAAAATTCTTCTCTACACATTACCTTTCAGTATTAAGCAACATTATTCAAAACTCAGAATTGATTTATACTCTAAAAATGCCTATTAAAATCTTTTTATATAGTACTGAAATTTTATTGCTGACTGCATAAACAAATATATTTAAAATGGGGAAGTTTATAAAGTTACATAACACTAATCTTGGTACAAAAGAGTTAATATTTTTGCTCTTGCTAAATGTTTTGGATATATAGCGCAAAGTCTGAGATCCAAAATGATCTAAAATCTGGACCGCAGAGCCACAATCTTTTCCCCCCCCTATGCTTTACATATGCGCATTTGATTTTTCCTCTCTTAATTTCACGTAGGTACTAAATAAGATACCTTGTTATTGAAGAAACCATCATTTTAGCGTAAATTTGCAAGATCAATAATTTTGCTCTGTAGCTGCAGATCTGCTTGGCATACACATCAAACCGAAACATTCTACATAGGGACATTGTTTACACCTACTAGTATTGAATATCCCTCCCAATCTGGCAAATCATTATTTATTACATTTTGCTTTCATCACTGCATATCAACACGTGACAACTTGAGTAATGACTCATGCAGTGATGCCTAAACATTTTTTTTTTATATTAGTAATTGAATAACAAAAAGTATGGTAACCTTTTATGCTGAC